CCCCACGCCAGGTGATAATTAATGACTGGGTTCCCCTTTGTACCCTGCTGGGGCTTTCATGTTGATTCGCGTGAGCCGCGTTCTTGTTGCAAAATGATCTAAGATGAGCTCGAATTTGTCATAAAAGTAATACTTTTAAGGGCTTTTCCATTACCTTGGAACTTTTAACAAAAACTCAAATCGATGACATTTTGGTGGCACAGAAATCCGGCTAACCCTCGATCGCCTCTCGACCTTTGTAGTAACAACGACGAAAAACAAAAACTTTCCCTATATAATGATACGATGAAGAGAGGTTAACGAGTATTAAAATCAAGAAAGACAGCTTTACCTCTCTGTTCTTTACCGTCTTAAATGCATCTGGCGGGTCGGTATTTTTGTTCCCTTCTGTAAAGTTTGAGTTCTCGATAACATCGCTCGAGAGTGTTTGTCGCCTAATTTGAATTGTAAAACTACATCTCTCACAATGCAACTATCTAGAATGTTGAGACAATAAACAAAATTGAATAGGGTAAACGCAAGACAAAGAACAATAGATATCTCGACATCATTACAGTATTGTTAAGGTTTATTGTTGTTCGATCTAAAAAGGGCATCTTTGATACCATGCTATCTCTGTTACATGGAAAGTTATGAGTTAGTTTTCTCAAAACAAATGCGCTGGCAACATTTAAACTGATTCGGTGCTAAGAGTTGAACGTTCTAATTCGCAAGCATAATAGTAAATGAATTAGTTATCATTTATCCAAGGCGAATTGTTTTTCGTTAAACCTTGTGTTGACTGTTACTGATACATTACAAGCAAATATAATTAACAAGGTATCTGCAGCACCCATGCTTAGTAAGATGTCATGGCTGGGGACAAATCATCATTTATTGTCGTGGGAGGGGAGGGAGTTCAAGGAATTTTGGTGGGGCATCACATGTTCTTCAATGGGAACGAGGGGGATCGATCATCGGGGACAGAGTTTGAAGGGGGGATACAGAAAACTGACTGCTAATTAACAACCAATGGAGGGGGGGGGGGTCAAAAGAAATTTGATAGCAACATTAATATTAACGACCAGACCCTACGGAAGAGGGAAGATTCCAAAGGTCGAGGCCAACACTGGTAAGGAAATACCCTACCACGCTCTTTAAGTCTAATGAGATGCTGGTGTAGTAACTCCGTGACCACCCCCCCCCCTCTCCACACCTCTTTAGACGAAAAGTCTAGACTTCATCCCTGAGATGTCATTCTAAATATCACGTCAGCTTCACAATTCACAGTCTAAACAAGCTTTTATCTCTCAAATTAGGTTCCGTGAGTATTTACGTTCAAGAATTCTTCGACTATGTCAAAAAGCCAAGGAATGACCTAAGCCTCTCAATAAGTGATACTTCTTGGCAGGTGTAGCAGAATTACTATATAAAAAAAAACGCTTTAGACACGAGTTTCAATGGAACTTAGAATGCTTGATTCAAAGGCCCTTAAGATCAGAACTGAGAATCTTCAATCTCTTAGTCTTGTGGTGTAGAATGTAACTTGTAAATCTCTCTATTTATGAACAGTCGATCACTGCTTTTTCTTATTGGTTGGTGCTGATGATGTTGACATGCTATTCCAAACATTTGTCGGTGAAAGTGCGCATCTTGTCCGATTCTATGATTTTTACGAGATTTTCCCCTTTTTTTGTTTCCAGACCAACCTCAATTTCACTTAAGTGTGAAAACAAAAATTCGAAATTTGGAAATGTTCTGTTGACGTTGGATGTACTTAAAATGTGAGAAGCTAAGGCGTTCTTGAAAAATCTACTCACCGATTCATACTGGAAGAAAATCAAAGACATTAACTTGCACTGCCCTTTATCGCGAATATGTTTGTATTTCACCCCAGAATCTCTACTCGTTCTGCATTCTCCATCATGATAACATCTTACAGACTCTTTACGGGAAGATTTTAATCATGACACTGATGATATTGACAATCAGCAACAGTATTTATACTGAAAATGATACTTGGTCATGTCAAAATGGATGAGAAATTCAAGTGTAAGTTCAAGTTGCGGTCGGAATAAGGAAAATCCCTTCGGAATTTGTCAGCCTTCCGTAAAAAAAAACCGTGGTGATCTTAGCGATTAGACGAGAGATCAGTCGATACTAGCCCTCGCTGTAGATGTTTTTTTTTTTTTTGTGGATGAAAGCCTATCTCGACTTCAACTTGGGCAATGTCACTTTCCTACTTTTCCCATCTGATTATGTAGCGATGTTCTAAGCGAGTAAGGGAGTTGCTACCGATGTTTACAATCGACTGGGTTTGCCGTGGATTCCATTGTGACCCCTGATACATGAACCATCATTGTGGCTTAGTCAGGACTATGAAATTTAATCGTTATAAGGGAAGCTTACGGCGGTGAGACGTTGAAAATCTCTCTCATGTAAAAAAGGAGCTTAGCGTACATTGGATGGTTTCATATTCCAACATTCATCAAAAAATTCGGGGTAAATAACGCGTTTTTCAAACGTTTAGTTATGTCCTTTGTGTTGTAATCAATAGCATTTACATCCAGCAATAGTGTTCGCCTATGAGGTATCTTTATGAGTCTACGACTCGTCCAAAATAAGGCTGATAACAAAAATGTCTTTCAGCACATGCGTCCAACGAACTCTTATCCGGGTACAAAGTTTAGAGCAACTGATCAGTTCAATCTAAACTGATCAGTATCCTCCTATTCGATTCTATTCCTTTTTTCCCTGACCCGAGTGGTTCGTTGTACAAATTTTAGTTATCAAATTAGGTGTGACAGGGAGAAAAATCTCGAGAAAATCTGACAGGGATATTATTGAGCATTACTTTTTAAACAGCCTTCAGTCATTGTGGAAGTGAACAAGTTCCTCTTATTACACAGAAGAAACGAGGAGTTCGTAAGGCATAAAACGGAAACGACCAGAAGCTCTTGTCTTTTATACGTGAAGTCATTTGTGTCCTTACTGGAATAAGGCCTCACTTGGCAATGAGAATAATACAAGGGAAATAACTGGTATCAAGAAGGCCATTTTCAATGATTTTTCAGTTTCTTCGCGACAGCTGTCGGTGAAGATCAGGGCACCAAAAAAGTACAAAGTTTTCAATTCATCGTCAAAAACTTTAACTGTCGTATCGACTGAAAAAGTGAATTAAACTATAGTTCTGTGAAAAAAAATCATCTTAATTTGCGTTACCTGAAATCGAACACTTCTTTTTCCGTTCCCAACCACGCGCCGCTGTGCTCATAAGACTCTTCTAGAAAATGTCAGAGCGAAGATGAAATTTATTAAGGTTTCGTGGTTAATAACTATGTCTTCCTCAAATGACAGTTGCCATTGTACCTTCCAAGCCCGCAATTTTGTGAGGTTTTGACACACAATGACAGCTAATCTCTGAATTATTAGCCAGCGTCCGGAAGACTTGAGTCCTAAATCAACAAATGTATAATGTCCTCACTTCACCGAAAGAGTGCGACGCCTCGTGAATTTCATTTAGGATTTGGGTTTGTGTAAAGAAGAATCTCACTGGATTTGAATAGGTAAATAAATAAGTTATGTCGCGATCCATATATGTACTTTTACCGGAACGAAACTTCAAGTGCAATAACACAGAACGTCTCAAATGAAATCCGGTTCAATTACACATGTAAACTGCTTGGACATTAACTGACTCCTTGAAGTTTAATATGCAAGGCCGGTATTTTAAACGATGTGTGTCTTCTTTGAGTAGTGATTTTAGATAATCAAATGTTACCCAGGAAATCGAATTTCCTTAAAAGTGTTCTTTTTTTCAGTGAAAGTGTCCCAACGTTAGGTAAAAACCCTCCAGACACTAGAAACAAAACTTATCGTTCAGATAGAAGAGGGTCTTAGCCGATAACCGTAAAGCGGCCAAAAAAAATAGAGGCATAGAAATGGACAAATTTTAACGGATAGTTGTAGAAAAAGTCAACCGTCAAAATAATTCTGGTGACAACAATACAATGATATTAACTGTTAGCCGTAAAATAGCCAAAATCGTAACCGTAAGCCATAAAAGCTATCACCACAGGACCTTCATAGAAAGCTTGGCTCAAATGAACAAGCTTTAGTATAGAAAGCAGGTTTGTTAAGCAGCAGCCAAACAAAAAACGTCTTCGTCGTGATTATGAAAAGAAAATTCACTTAAGAAAGTACAGATATGCGCATTAAACACGAATTTCTAACCTGCTACAGCTACGAGATCGTCAAGTGGATCACCTACCCGATTTTTTCGTCTCATTCGATTCGAACAAAACTTTGAGCTGTTGTTCGCAAGGGTTGCTAAACACCAACTAGGTTATTTCAAATGAGAAAATAACAATGGCTTAGAATGAGGAAGCTTAATTTTCCTCAGTTGACGGCAAAATAGCTTAAAGCTCAAACAGCCAAAAAAAAAAACAAACACGCACAAAAAAACACACACACACACACACACACGCAAACACGTTCATCCCTGTGTTTTATAAAAGAACAAATCTCGCTCAAAGAAACGCGTACCTAACGAGTATATTTTCATCTTCCCAAGTTGACAGTTCTTTATATTTTATCATTGCTTAAATTCTTTCACGCTAACCTATTATGTTGGGAATTTGTTTTCCACATGATAGGGCACAAAAATTCCGCCACATTAGCTTAATTGACGGCAGTAATATTTGCCTGCCATGTTATGGCAAGGAGCCTCGTAAGTAAAGAAGCGTTAATGCCAATAATGAAAACAATTAATCCACTTTCATCTCCTACCCCGCATTGTTTTGAGCTTGCAGAGTTAGGGTGCGACATAAATTGACATCCTCGGCACGTTTCTTGAATAAGTCCTCCTTGAAAGCGATCTATGCTCCAATGATATTTTCATCTCCCCTATTAAAAAGTACTCATAAAAAATTTACTAGCTACTTACAGCATCATGAGATTCCAAAGAGTTATTCCGCTTTTTGAAATCTTTTTTCTTCAATTCTGCAAAATGTTTCACAATCATCGTGCTGTTTATTAATTCAAAACCTCGTTCCCAGGGCCATTTCCCTTCAATTAGGGGAAAAGGCCCTGGGAACGAGGTTGATTATTTCACTCCGTTTTCCTAACTGAACACCTGGTCAGTACAGTACTAGCAAGGCGATTGAAAAAACTACCAATGCAGACGGAATTGTGAATGAAATATTCTTTATTAAGCCTTATTCTGTAAAACTGTACTAAATGAATAACGAAAGTATTCCTTTTTCTCCATATGCTAATCCAGCAGACTGAAAAGTTCCATGCACTGCACTAATCTCGTGCCCAGATCCTACTGTGTAGCAATAACCGTGAAATTTCTGGGTACAAGACTAATACTACACTAAATGATAGAAATTCAGAGCACGCAGATAATATTTCCTCAGTGTTTCAACTTTTCTTAATCGATGTAAATGAGTAACCTGTTTACAATAAAGAAAACATAAGGTGAAGCTAGGTACAAAACAGTCTATAAAGAATCAGTTGTCGTCTATATATTTTACATGCACGAAGCATTCAGATAATTTAAGATCCCATGGTCCCAAATCCAATTAATTTTCCCATAGAAATCTGTGAGAGGGGTAAGGCGTCTTCGATATCCTGTCCTTGTTCAAGCATGCGCTCTAACACTATAAGACGTTTAACTGCATCACATAACTGCTGGATAGAATTTACCTAGAAAAAAAATGATCAACTTATAATTTCCAGTCAGAAACTCGAATGATGAGTGAAGACAAGGAATAAGGATTGGTTGACTAGAAGAAATGCTGCGTCCGAAGAAACAAATGCCCAGTAAATGTCATACAAATGTTACTTGACCCTTTCAATATTGGTCGCTATTAGCGACTTCCCGGCCGGGCTTTCTCCAGAGGAAAAGAGACCTGGCGAAAGAGGTTTTCGTCGTCGCCTAGATTCTTTTATTAGGCTTTACTTTGAGAATATTTCAGATCACTTCAACACACACCAAATTAAGCCAGAAACGTCTGTCTGGTCTGTTATTGCATAATAAAATTTGTGTGTCTAGGAGATATTTCAGATCAATACGAAAAGTAGATTATAACATAGGTAGCAGAGCCGCGCAATCAAATTCAGTTTACGTAAGCGTGCTCAAAATCCCGATAGTGCACGCTGATAGCGTTAACAAGTCGCTTCGCCAGAAAAAAAAATTTTTTTTTCGTGTGAGCGGCCACTGTTAGCGCGGGGAAAAATGATTTATTTCGCGACAATAATGGATACAAACAGAGACTCGGCCCACCAGTCCCAGAACGAAGATAATTTTCCGACCTTCTTCCTTGGGCAAGAGTTCTTACATGAGGCAGAAAAAGAGAAAAACAACGGAAAAGGAGACTCGGCATCAACGCCGTCACGATTCGCTTCACTCTCCGAGGGTGAAGTGCAACAAATTTTGACAGAAAGACACTTTGGTAAAACCAAACAAATGACAAACTGGTCTGTTTCGCGAACAATCACTTCTGATATTGTTGTCCGTTTTTCGCGTCGGATTTGATGCACAATTCCACCGGCTATGTTATAAAACAATTGGTTCATGCTTTTAGCTGTGCACTATCGAGTTTTGGAGCTCGTGGGAAGTTTGGAGAGCACTCAAGAAGCTAGAGTTGCCCTCGGCTATTGCCTCGGGCAACTCTTACGCTTCTTTCGTGCTCTCCAAACTTCCACGTGCTTCCATAACTGGATAGTGCACGCTAAAGCATGAACCACTTGTTAATTAAAACAGACAACGGGCGTTTAGAGTCTCAAAGTAGAAGAAATACTTTTATCGCAAATCAGTAAGCGGAAAACAACACTCTCCGTATACAACGTGAACCGCAAATTCAAATCACGCACCGAGAGCTCTTTGATTTCTTGGCGATTGCCGTTCACGGTGATCTAGAAAAAAAAACTCAATCTTAAAGTTGCTATCGTCTATTCCTGACTTAGGAGATCGATTATACATTTCCGTGACATGTACTTACTTCAGACATACCCAAAGTCTGGGTGTTATGAATGTACATTATTCCAGCTAGTATTTCTCCTTCGGAGAGGCCTATGAAAGTAAAAGAAGACATTCGCCTAAAGCCATGATTGACCCAAAACACATTGAGGTGATAAGAAAAAGTACGATTGTCGGATATGGAACACGAATCTTAAAAGAACTACTGAAAGAATGCTTGCACGTAATTGCCTTGCTGCCGTCTAGTGCCTAGGCCAAAAGGGTTTCTCTTGCTTTGGAGATCGCATCTGGAATGGACCAAGGGACAAATGCGACCTCTACGGTTGTGTAAGAGAAGTTAAAATCGTCTACACCCTTCAGAAAATTTCTCGCGAAAACAGGGATTTTTCGCTGCAATTTCATGGTTCAAATAACTCTTGGTAGTCAATTTTGGTCTGTTCAAGATCAAAAGTGTGGTGTTGAAAATATTTTTTGTAGTAGGATTAAAGGATAATCTATAGCGAACGTTCCAAGCATAACTGATCGATCAAAGGATTAAGCACAACGGAAATCCTACCCCTTTTAGAATTTCCTCAAGATTAAGGTATTTTTCTTAAGTGTTGTCGAAGTTTTCCCGCGTTGACCCTGCGAAAGTTAGTGACGCGCACCCTGTCTAGCAATGCTACAAATATAGAGACCCCCTCCAAGGTAGAGTCCAGACCCCTCTCAGTTGAGAATGGTACTCGGATACAACTGATATTAAGAAAACAATGCATCTCTCTGACTTACCACTCCTTTTCTTTTCAAGTTTGTAGGCTTTAAGTATCCATCGTAGTCTTGAATCCTTCAGTGGGAGATTTAAAAGAAGATATAAAGTAAGTTAAAATCTTAGTTTCTAAATGCGAGGAAGTCGAAAAGTCGCTGCATCCGACTTACCGTGGATAGGTGATGTAGTTTAACGCGAACTCTGACGTCAAGTGCAGTACCGAGATGGATTGGGTCCGACACTATGTAACCAAGGTGATCATCCCAAATAAACTCTTCCCCAGACTTCTTCAGCTCTCGTTCAAACGCAGCCATGCCTCGAATTAACTTATCAAACACCGCTTGCAAGTTCCCTCCTTTATCAAAGCACCTAAACTGCAGGTGGTCGTCTTCATTTACAAACACAACAAAGGTGGAGTCTTTATTACGGAAGATACCACGTGACTCAGGCCAGTCTCGAGCACGCCCTGAGCATGTTATCAATGGTGACGTGGGATGCGATGTCACATTCAGAGAACCAAGCTTTGGATCTGGAAACTCAGCAATTGGCTTGTATTTACCTACAAATTCACCTACAAAAAAAATTATTTGGAAATTTTTTAAGTCTAACTCTAAAAGGGTCACAAGTTCTTGCTATTCTTTTCTCAGGATATTTTTCGGGTCAATAGGGAACACTCTGTTGGTGTCCTTCACCTTACCCTCACCCACCTCCCAGTCGCATGAGCACCGAGCAAATAAGGTCCTCAAGGCTCCTCCTCGTGCTACGGGAACACCCAGCCGGCAAGGCATAACCCCGGAGGGAGCGTCGGGCGTGCAGCCTAACAGACAGCACGTAATTACTGTTCAGTTGTCCCTCGGCGATCTTTTTACTGTCCATATCCCTTGGATGAAAATCCTTTCTTTTATGTCCATGGTACTCTTCGATTATAGCATCAAACAATGGTGCAAACTCCTCATAAGAATAGCTGTCTCCCGCTATTATCCCGGATGCTCGTTGCCATGGAACCCCCAAATTGTCCACACCGACTTGAATAGCTTGGTCGAGAGTGAAACCACAAGGGGTATTTATGAATCTATTGAATTAAACAAGATGCAACACGGTGAAACGATGTAAGAAAATCCCAAGTGTTGTATTATTTTCATGCATTTTGAAACTGAAATAGTGTGCTTCGTGCTGAAGAGCTCAAATTTTATATCGTTGATTCGATAAACACAAAAAAGACGTTTAATTGACATAAAAATCTCAGACACATTGGTTCTAATCTGATTCAGTTGTGGTCTTAAATACCGATGTCAATTTTAATCTGTGACAGTATTGATTTTTTCTTATCTTTAATTTCATTGTTGGAAGCAGTATGTGAAAGGAAAATGAAATATACTTTAGTTAAAACTATTTAACTTTTTATATCACATCCGGAGAAGGAAGTGGAAAGGAACACGAGTTTCAGTTTTTTAGTGAAATACACCGAATGCAAATATGGCGTCCAATTTGAATTGTCATTGTTCTGGACTCACTAGCCGTGTCTTCACGTAGAAACACAAAAGGATTATCACATGTGTGACAACACGAAAGGATTATCACATGTGTGACAACACAAAAGGATTATCACATGTGTGATAACACAAAAGGATTATCACATGTGTGACAGGCTAGTGAGTCCAGAACAATGGCAACTCAAATTGGTCGCCATATTTGCATTGGGTGTATTAGGTCATCGAAAATAAAAAACATGCTTTTATGTCAATACACTTTCTAACTAGGAGTACGGAGTAAAGAAAGTTGAGAGAAGGAGAAAAAAAATCGCTAGATCGTTCCAGACAATTTACAAACATTATGGATAAAGCTAAATAATGATGATGATGATAAAAACGATAATAATTATAACAGTCATGATAATAATAATAATAATAATAATAATAATAATAGATAGATAAATAAATTATCTTCCAGTGGTATAAAAAGAGTCACATATTTAAAGCAGATCCTTCCCTAAAAGATCATTTCATTTTATCAACTGAGTTGATAACGTAAATTGGCTTCCGTAAAGAGTTAATGANGGGTGGGTATATGCATTGAGTGTAAAGCGCTGTTGATCTGTCATTGTAAATAGCACTCTATAAGAAATAAATAATAATAATTATTATTATTATAATTATAATTATTATTATTATTATTATTATTATTATTATTATTAGACGACCAACGACACATTATTGTGGTAACCTTCTTCCCCTCCCCAGACAAATGAAAATAGACTGAAACATTGACAGAACTTGAAAATAACAAATCTTAATAGAGACTAAGCGAGTCATGACTCTCGTAATGTTCCCTTGAAAGAACTAAAAATATGCCGATTATGCTAGCAGTACTAAAATTAGAAAAAGTGCTAAAATTATGCTGGTTTTTCCAAATTATGCCAAAACGTATTCTAGCACAATCGATAAGGACCTAAACCAAATTATGTTATAATACGCCCTCCTCCCCACTGACGTAGTACCGCAGTTTCTTTAGAAACTTACCCCCTTTATACCTAAAGGCGCCTTCAGTGAGGAAACAAAACTCCATAATTTCATTTACTTTCAACCGACTATCACTTCTAATTCAAATATTGTTAAATTTATGTATCTGTCTGTCATACGTTCGTTTCAAAGTCAGAAATGAGAATCTAGTGCGACATCTTTCCATGAAATCAATCTTTTTTATCATGATATTTACTTATTAGCCCTACGATGTTTCGATTTCTTTGGTTAGAACTTCCCGTTCAAGTCTTAAAAAATTCACCCTTCCACCCAGACTTTCGAGTAAATTCTCGCCACTTTTCAGTCTTTGGTGTACATGCTTACCTCAACGACTCGTACAAGTCTGGTGTGAGGTGATTCGCCATCATGTTGTTATGCAGGCGTAAATCTGGGAAATTTCCGCGCGGAGGATATCTTTCATAACCGTGCTGTTTTCTATCCCACGGTTTTTCACCGAAATACATTATGTATACTTCCCGCGCAACATACACTCCGCAGCCCAAAGCTACGAGCCCGAGAAAACGACGGCTTGAGGGAACATCCATTCTTTTCCTTTCACCGTTTCACTGAGTAAGTTTTAGGAGTTTACGTTATGCTTTGATTACTTCATTATCGCTTCAGACAATTCAATTAATGCAACACGCCATTTGTACTGTCCAATTAGCGCTTGGATCGAACGCCTTCTCGCGCGCCACGACGGCCGTAAATCAGGTTGCATCACGGAACGCATGTATTTTAATACACACATGAGACAAGAGTGGCAAAGGTCACTGTATCTTTCACTTCGACGACGCTACAACAGATCTTAAAGGAAAATCACATGCTAAAACTGTATCTGTAGGAAGTCTTAAACATAACAGGTTAGTTTATCATTGTTTTGTGTGTAGTTAAGGAAGCAACGACCGTCCTCTCTAGCCGACTCTTGATCGTTGTTAACTAATATTGGTTATCATCTCTTCTACAATTCATTTGTGGGAGCAAGGGAATCCCCTTTTCTGTTCTTAGCGAAATACTGACGCGCAGATCTCTAGATATTATACAGATTGCGAATGAAATGAAAATGAAAATGTCACGTTTTGCAGCTCTATTCTGTCTCTAGATTTATTCATCACAGACAAGTCACCACTTTAGCTAACAGGGTCTACATTGTACATGCTAAGGCGTGTATAGTGTATTATGTCACAACAAGAATTTTAAAAAAACTTCTCTTGCTATCAACCTTGGGCTTTTGGAAATAAACATAGGGAGGTGAGAATTTATAATTCGACGATTTTTTGGAGTTCTGTAATATTTTTTGAGGATCTAGATGAGATTGTTTACATTTAATTCATGTCTGAGTCCCGATTTTATTATTTACGAGTTGTTTTGCTTCGCGTGACTATTTTGAAATAAGACCTAACGTGACGTGACTAGTCCGAGGTTTCCTGATAACCTTGTCGTCTTCTTGCGGTGCCTGGTCTCTAAGCAGTGGCCAAGGTCATGCCAATCTCAACCTAATGGTGCGGTAGCAATGGCTTCGTCATCTAATCTTCGAAGGAGGCAAATTCGCGCTATGAATGGAGGTAATTTGTCTGTAAAAAACAAAACGAAATACGCCGCAGGATTTGGCTTGAGTAGGTAGTGCGAAGATATTTTTTTTCTTTTCAGGCGCCAATTTCTTAGACAAGGAACACGAAATGGGTCGCGCACGAGCGCAAGAAGTTCGCCGACGTGCAGAGGTACATTTTTTCCCGCAATTATGAATAGTAGAAAATGGCCTTGCAATTTACCATGTTCCTGTTGTGTTAAATGTTGTTGTTGTTGTTTTTAAAATTGTGATGCTTCCTTTCTCTCACTACGCAGAGTGAGAACTAACAAGCGTCGAACTTCATTCATTTTTGATAGACATTTTCATTTTGTTAATTTGCGTGAATTCATGCCAGATTTTCGATGGATTCCACGAAGTATTATTTTTAATTTACTTAACTTTTTTTTTTTTGAAGCAATTGAGAGCGGAATTGGTGGAACAGATCGATGGTCAACTCAATGAGTTACTCGATGACGTCCTTCACGATGTGGATCACTTGGAATCTGTCGTAGATTACTCGTTTGCTAGGTACGTTTTAATGGGGTGCTCTCAGCGCCCTGAGTTTTTCCCTGACAAAAGAGAAAAAAGCAAGGAAACTGCATCCCTTCATTGAACTTTATAGACTAGTTTCGTTTTGTATGACATAATTCCTCTTGAAAAATAAAGATATCATGTCGCGTCTGAAAATAGAACTTACTTTTCCCAATTGAAGTAAAAAATTAATTCACACTGTGTAATTTCCTTGTTTAGAAGATCGCACGTGACAAAAAAAAAACGTGTGTGTTTTAATAAACAAACGGCCCCCTGATAGTGTAGATTTTAACATACAGGAGGGTTTAAAGAGCTACAAATTTATCCACCATTTTCTCAGGATTCCAGTATTTTATTTTGTCGTTTGTCAGTTTCGTTCGACTTGTATTTATTGGTGAGTCCCTAATATTTTTGCGTGAGAACGGCTGCTTAAAACCTGGTCGACATCGATCACGAAACAGTTAGATCAAGAAAAGTTTCTCGCCATAGCGCTCTGAACAAATTAATTTTGCTTTCGTTTTATTTCTATTGTATAATATTTCAGATAATTTTGACTCTAATGAGAAAAAATTAACAAAATTAGAAGAGACAGCTGTTAAGATCGGTTTTGTGATGGTAATATATACCTCTGAAAGCTTAATGGCGAATAGATCAGAGAACTTTACTTATCATCCACAGTGTTCACAATCGGTGGTTGAAAGACCTGTCAAACACTTAAGAATGTGAGACAGACATAGAGAGGTTTTGCACAGCAGCCATGTTGAATGACAGGAACAAAGAAAATATTTTGCATAAGAAAGAAATTTTTTTTCCCATGGGTAAAATAATCTATTGTTCCTACCATCCAACATGGCTGCTGTGCAAAACCTCTATTGGTAATATTTTATGCTGTTTGCAATAATCACTGTGAATGCTTGAATGTTTGGACAATTTTTAATCCCATAAGCATAAAGTATTTGCTTGTGGACCTCAACTAAGTCATCTAAGGTATTCCACTATACCTCTTAAAAGAGCCAGAGATATGGTTTTCTATTGAAAATTTCCAATCACTTTAGCAAATTCTTCCTTGGACAAATTTGAAACAAAAACTGGGGATCTTGTCCCATTTGGACCAGTGAAAGCTAAGACAAAATAAATTCTGCCTTTTGAAAGGTATCCATTTCATACCCCTGGTCAGTTCATATCCAATGATGGATTCATGCACCAGTACATGAACAGATGTCAATGACATACCATATGCAATCTCTTTATCTTGTTTTTTTTTTTTTTTTAAACAACAGCTACTTGTTTTGTCTTATAACGTGTCATAATTCTGGTCCGGCAGTTTGACAATGTTGTAAGACACAACAAAAGAAATTACAAATGAATAAAGGCTGATAGTTTCGAAAGAAACTGTTTGGGGCTGCGTTGGTGGGAGTAACGAAATAATTTGGATATATCAACAAAGTTGAAATGGTAAATTGGCCACTGTAACGATTACAAAAGCTGACGTTTCGAGCGTTAGCCCTTCGTCGGAGCGAATAGAGGAATTGTGGGTTGTGTGTGCTTTTAAAGGCAGAAAATGGAGCTATGTTATTGGTACGTTATTAGCTACGTTATACGGTATTGGAGCTACGTTATTTTCTGCCTTTAAAAGCACACACAACCCAAAATTCCTCTATTCGCTCCGACGAAGGGCTAACGCTCGAAACGTCAGCTTTTGTAATCGTTATGGTGGCCAATTTACCATTTCAACTTTGTTGATATATCCAAAAAAGAAATTACAGTATTAGTTCTTAAATTTTTCTCTATTCCTGATTGTGCTTTTCTCTTTTATAATTTTGAGTTCAACATAACAATTACAAGCGACAGACAACAACATTTGATCCTCTGCTTGCAGGAGGATTGTTAACTCCACTCACTAACATCAGGATGTATTTTCTCCATATTATTCCTTATACATTTCCCAAGGTGTTGACAAGGAGAATTTATGTAACAATCAAGAGCTTCATTTCCTATATTATTGTGAACTAAATGTTTGATTCGGGGGGGGGGGGATATTGTCGGGAGAAATTAGATGCGAGTCACTCTTGGGTTGTGTAATGACAGAAGATGGTCAGGAAAAGCTCAGAGTCCAGAATTTAATCCAGATATGAAATGCAACCATCAGTCAGTCATTTAAATGTTTACTTCTTTATATATATTTTTAGAGACAAGCTAACTGGAAATAAAGTATTTGTGGCAAGGCAGTCATTATTGACGTAAGTTTGGCCAATTGTTCTAAACACAAAAAAGTAATTTTGATAAGGTGAAACTGGTGAATCTTAGTTAACCAATGCAGTTATAAGAAGCTGGTACTTTACAGCTTGATTTTTATGAGCATTTAACCTGATAAATATTTTTACAAAAGTCATACAGTTGTCTATTATAAAAATGTTAATTTTTCTACCCTAGGGAACTCCTTGAAGTTAATCATATCAAGACAATCTACAACATTTTTGTGGCGTTACTAATCGTGTTTATTACAAATACTGTAGTCTATGATTACATTGATTCAGGAAGGTAAGGGGCTTTCTTCCATCTTGATAGTTTACCTAAAACACAACAAAGCAGACACAAAATGGAAAAAAAAGTGGAAATAAATAATAATAATAATAATAATAATAATAATAAAGGTTTATTAGCATTCCAAAAATGAATTGGCTCTTCTATGCTAAATTAAATTACTATACTAGTCTAATTACACTATATCATATAGTTTACAATAAATCACACTCTAATTAAAAATTAAAATATAAACAAGCTAAAAGGCCTGAGATAAATCCAGTTTAAGAGATGATCTCTAAAAAGAATCCTGTGCAGAGGCATTTGCTGGCTACAAATCCCACACCTTCAGTGCTCTGCAATAAAAAAAAACAACAACAAATCGCGACTTTGTACAGTTGGAAGGGGAGAAAAAAATTGGTATTCCAGGATATTGCAACCTCAATGGAAATGTGTCAACTATGTTATTGAAATTTGCAGCATTAAAGAGAGACACTTTTTGCTTCCAAACATGTCCAGGAGAACATAAATTTAAGTTAAATAGCACTAATTTTGATTGAGTTGTTTAGAGCTGTATATTGTATTTATTTGGCTATGAGCATGATTTTTGTGCCAGTTTCATTTGGGATAAAAGGTTTTTGTTTGAATTCTTCTAGCAAAATTGTTAGGTCCTTGTTAAATGTAAAGTCTTGTTATAGGTCTTGGCTCATAGCTGACTGTTTTTGTTTTATAATTTGCATTGGTAATTAAGTTGATTTCACTAGTTGGATGTTTGGGGTCTCAGCTTATAGCTGAATGAATAGGTTATATGCATTCAGGTTCAAGAAATGCACCAGGTTCTTTACTGATGAAACAGTTTTAGAGTTGTTACAGGTCTTTGAATTGTCTTTTCTTTGCAGTCTTTCCTTGGACCTCTCAATACTGAAATGGGCATTTGGAAAACCTTCGACTGTTGTCAGCTTATGGCTTGTAATGAAGGCCATGGCACTGGCTGCATTTCCTCTTTTCATGGCTTGGCACACAAACCGGCATTCGTGGCTGCCTCTACCAGACCTAGTCTGGCTTGCTTTTTACATAGTCTACATGGCTGTATTTGTAATATTCCCCCTTCAGGAAGTGTGTCAACAGAACCTTCCACCTGCTTCATCAATTATCATCCTTGCAGAACAGGTATGAGCAGAAAGCATCCAGCCACAGACTTGAAAGAATCCCATAGAGTTTGTAATTTCTGGGGGGTAGGAGGTGGGAGGGAGGGGGGAGAAGGGAGAGTGATTGGTCTCAAGTGACTGAGTTGCAATCCACCCCTGAGGGTAGCAATGTTGATAGTCACTTCATGCTACAGAAACTAGGCTAAGCTGTAGTTTTAACACGGGTGGCCCAAGCTCTGTCACAGGCTCTTTCACAGTGGATTATTAAAGAGTTTGTATAGTGGTTTAGTTGGACTTGCTTTTGAGCTCCATAAATGTAAAGTTGTGTGAAATAATCAAAGAAATAAAGTCTTACCTTCATAGAGAGTTAAGTCTGTGATGTTCTCCTCGCGAATTGAGGCCGTTTTGATGTGTTTTAGTTTGACACCCTTATCACCACCGAGTCACCATGCACAAGATACCGGAAGGTAGGAAACTTCTGTTGACACATGCTCGCCAAAATCGCTCGAAAACAACACTTAAATAGTTGCCCTTTAAGTTCACCGGAAAAAATCCCTCAAAAGTTGATTTGTTGAGCAACCAATCCAGCGAGAATTTCAAATTAACGGCCGTTCTGAATTCTTCTGTGTGGAAGAAACATCTTGTGCAGCTGAGAGACCGTTAATACACAGTCAACCTGGACCCTAGTCAAATCTCTCTTAACGGGTCTTCCCCATAGTCTTCTAACACCAACCCTTAGCACATACTAAGGTACCCTGGGTAAACTCATCAACTTGACTAGATCGTTGATACTGTCCATTTTAACTTCACTGTTTCCTTGTTATACTTGATAACAACAAAAGTACCGGGTATCTTAGTATGTGTGAAGGGTTGGTGTTAGAAGACTGGGGAGGACTTTTGTAATCTATAGCAATCTCTACTATAACCTCTTGAAATAGTATGAATAAATGAATGAATGAGAGATTTGACTAGGGTCCAGGTTGACCACGCATTAACGGTCTCTCAGCTGCACAAGACGTTCCTTCCACGCAATAGATGAGTTCACAACGGCCGTTCATTTTAAATTCTCGCTGGATTGGTTGCTCGACAAACCAACTTTTGTGGGATTTTTTTTCGGTGAACTTAAAGGGCAACTATTTGGCTTTCATGCTGCCAAGTTTTGATTCGAGGGAAAGTATTTAAGTGTTCTTTTCAAGTGATTTTGGCAAGCATGTGTCAACATAAGTTTCCTACCTTCCCGTATCTTGTGCACGGTGACTCTGTGGTGATTAGGGCGTCAAGCTAAAACACATCAAAACGGCCTCAAATTGCAAGGGGAACAACACAGACTACTCTCTATGAACTTCAAGGTAAGACTTTATTTCTTTGATTATTTCACACAACTTTACATTTACAGAGCTCAAAAGCAAGTCCAACTAAACCACCATACAAACTCTTCAATAATCCACTGTGAAAGAGCCTGTGACACCTGTGGTTTTAATGGGACTCTACAGTTACTCTTTTTTTATTCTTTTTTTTTTTTCAGGCTTGGGCCACCTGTGGTTTTAATGGGACTCTACAGTTACTCTTTTTTTATTCTTTTTTTTTGTGTGTGTTTACAGATTAGATTTATGCTGAAAGTGCATGCATTTGTCAGAGAGAGCACACACAAGGTGCTGTCCTACAAAAAGTCAAAAGGTAATATATTATTATGATCAAATTCTTAGTTGAGAGTCAATCCTACTCGTGAAAAATTGTCTAATTAAATTGTGTAGCAGGAGATTGATGTCAATCCACAAAATGAGTTTTCTCCCACTTGATAAAGCACTGTAGGAGTGGCCACTTTCATTTCAGCTGGGGCTTCCACTTGACCATCAAGGTATTCAAAAGAGTTAGAGTTCTTTTCTTGGTGTAGATTTATAGTTTGAGTGGCAAAAATATGTTCCCACAAAAACTTGATACCTGGCTAAATAAGACTCCTGAAAAATGTTCATGTTACATGTTGAACTCATTCGAAATTCATTTGCTCCTCAAGTGCTAAAGAAGAACTCAGAGTCATCAGCAGAAATGGATCAAGCTAACGAGGGAGATATTGATGCTGCAAATGAGGACAAACTTGAGAAAGAAAAGCAGTCATTACCAGAGTTTGGACAGTACCTGTATTTCTTATTTTGCCCAACGCTCATCTACAGAGATCAGTACCCCATGTAAGTATCAAAAAATAGAAACAATGAGGCCTTTACACGCTAACATCAGCATGCATATTCTCCATACTGTTCTCTATACATTTCCTGATGTGCTAACAAGGAGAATTTGTTCAACAATCAAATCTTCTTAGGTTGGTGATCATTTCCTAAATGTTCTCGTGATTTTAGTGTTTGTTTTTGTGATTCTAGTGAATTATTCAGCAGTACCCCCTGTAAGGAGAATTTAAATGTTGATCACCTTTGGAGTTAAAGGGTTAAATTACAGCACTTTTATTTTGGCAAATGAAAATGTTTTCACTTTAACAAGTCTTCCAGGGCAGTGTTATAGCTAAGAAAATGGCCTGCCGCTTGAGGAAGCCATTCAGCTGGCTGTGTCCTGTCATTTGTATCATCTTGTCTGCGGGGCTACAAAGCTCTGAGTTCACAAAATGGCAATCCGAAACAGAGAGAGAGACCACAGGTCAGTTAAGACCAGTGAATTCAAAGCTACACTTCATTTCACCTTTTATAATTCTGTGGCTTAGTTGTAGTGCAGTATTTATTTTCACCCTTTTGTCATCAAACTGCAAGGTATTTTTATTTTTCACTTTAACTGTAAAAAGTTAAGAGTTGTCTAACGAGTGATTACCAGCGAAAATTCAGCCGGCAACTGCCTCTTTCTCAGTCGGGGAATTTCGCTGGCTGCCGGCGCTTAACAACAGCCCTGTAGGAAAAAGTGCCGTGAACAATTATTGATGAACCCCTTAACTCTCAGAAGTGATCAACATGTAACTTCTCCATATGATATCCACACATTATGCAACGAACAGGTGATGAGAATTCTTAAACTTATCAGGTAGAAGTTGTTGTCTTGATTTCCCATCAAATTCTCGTAACAAATCCACAATGAAATATTTAGTAGCTGGAGGGGAGAATTAGCAATCAGATCTTGAAAGAAAAAGGGTTGATAACTTGCTGGTAATAATTGATAATCAGTTGCTAGGACTGATGAAGAATGTTTTGAGAAATGCTGTAATGTATTGTTCAGAGCGTGTGAGGTTTTTGTTGGGGGAGAGTACAGGCTAGTATTTTAATCAAGCAGTTGTCCTACACTGAGATGTCAGCACTCATCGAAATATTTTTCATCTGTTCTCTACATGCCAAGGCTCACAAATCGCATGAACAAGCTTTCTTCATTCCTTAGCATGTGGGGTAATTGAGTCCGCTTTTTTGCAAGGATTTTCCATTTGGTGACTATGAAACAAAACTTAGAAAGCTCTCTGAAACATTTGTTATTGTGTTTTTTTCAGGACGCCTTGTATTAGATGGAATTACGTGGTGTCCAACTCGTTACAAACTTTGACTTGTATCTTCTACACGTACTATGTCTTTGCCCGTTTTTGTGTGCCTGTGTTCAGGAATATTGGAAAGGGACATTGGAGTTTCAAGTAAGAATGCTGCTTGAATTTTATGCCAGTATGCAACGTAGGCAATTTACAACGGAGGTTAAAAGTTGTAGGCACACTGATGCATTCTGACTTAGGCTTCCATTTTTCTCCCCTCCTGAAGAATATAGATTTTTTTTTTTTTTTTGTTCTTTGTTTTTAGTGGTGTGCTCATGTCTTAGGCCTGACAACTCGTTGTTTCCTAACAAAATTGATACAAGGGTGATTATCTCTCATAGTAATTCAGACAAACGTATCTCGACAGACATCTCTTTTTTCCTCTGTTTTGATTTGGGAGCGGGAGTGACGTAGTTATGTGGCGCGGGCTCGATTCCAGGATCAGGCGTCACATGTGGGTTGAGGGTTTTTCTCCGGGTGCTCCGATTTTCCTTTCTCCACAAAAGCCGACATTCCAAATTCCAATTCGACTGAAAACAGTGGACTGCAAGAGGCACCTCGTGGAATGTCCACTGCTACTCAAGCAACTACCTGCTTCAAATTTGTCAGTTTTCGCAGATGTATGGCGGGAAGCTTGAACCTGGTCTCACGTATACTTTGTTTTTGTTGTTGTTTTTTTTTTAGACATTTCACGTTGTCAGTGTTCAGCTGTATGCTTCCCGGAACAATGGTTCTTGTTCTCGGTTTCTTTGCCATCCTTCACTCCTGGTTAAATGCCTTCGCGGAAATGACCAGGTTTGCTGACAGAATGTTTTACAAGGTGTGTGAAAAAAAAAATCACCTCATTAATTAAAATGCTACTAACTTTAAGAGGTTAAGAGGCCAAGGACTAACACGTTAATTAACGAGCATGCCTCACAATTTATTTTATAAATTGTATGGAAAGCGACGATGAACCTGAATTAACTCGTAGCCCGTGAGCAGGCTTAGTGCTTCGGCACGAGTGTTTCTTGCCTTCAGCAACGCAAGCCAGTGTCCCAGTGGTACGTGTACCCCCGTGATATGTGTATCCCCGCACACATATCACTAGTGATATGTGCACCCCCGGTAGGGATACACAAAGCACTGAAGCTTTGTACCCGGGCCTCCAAAGGCTTCAAGGAAAACATGGCGGCTACGAGGGATAGATTTTGTGGGTTTATATTTTATATACATCAAATCCTTTTGGATTCATCTTTAAAAGGGGCTTCTATGTTGTTGTTGTTGTTGTTGTTGTTCTTTTTTGTTTTGAAATCTGTACGGCCCTGGACAACCAAGTCCTTATCAGGGCAACCGAAGTCTGGGTCCTACAGTATTTGCCAGTATGGACAACCAGGATTTTTTTCTAATTCCGACCACAATGTATGTTGTGTCTAATAAGTGCTCACAAAAACAACAGGCCAATCAATTTGAACTACATAAGATAAGATAAGACCTTTATGTAAACACGATAATAATTAAAGCTAACAGCTTGAGGGGTCGTGTATTTAGTTTATACATTATTTAAATAAGAAGACTAGCTAAATAAGTAAAAGGCTAACACTAACATCTTAATCAAAAGTAGAGAAAGTCATCATTTTTATGGCGGACAACAGAAGCTGAAGCAATATTAAATTTAAAATCTCTAAAATAAGGCTTTGTTTTCAAATTTCGAAACAGCTCATTTGGGTTTTTGTGCAAGATATTACGTTCATTTAAGCTAATAGTGTTCCATAAGATTGCACCTCTATAAGCAAGGGAATCTTTCGTAAACCTAGTATTAAATCTTGGAACTATCAGTGAATCGTCTCCTCTCAAGGAATAGCCATAGGAAGTTTGATGTAAATATCCTTGTATAATAACTGTGGGAGAGACTCATTATGTGCTTTATAGAAAAGTTTAAGATCGAAAAATCAGGTATTTTTATAGATAAATCAACATAAATAAAAAATGATTGTTGTCCCGCCCGACATGGCCCGCAAAAGGTGAAGAGTGACGCTCTTCGAAAACTCTTGCCTTTTCCTGCTCTTGAATGACCATGCGTTTAAAGATTGACCCTTCGTGACCCCGGTCGACGTAGAAAAGCGAGCCTGATTGTACATCAAACGTGAACTGTTTCGAAAGTCTCCGTAACACTCCTTTTTCCGGCTTGCTGGCCCCCTCTGGATACTCTTTATCTCTCAAATAATGAACCAGATTTGAATATTTTGTGGCATCCATCTTAATAATTCTCGAAAGATGCGAATTTCCCGCGAAAATAGGTCGCGTGTATACAAGGCTCACCTCCCTTTTTGGGCGTTTTTTAATAGAGGATTTTCTGTGGGTAGGAGCGTTGCGTTACAACAGTTAAAACGACGGCTGATAGAATAACTCGTATTTGAGAAAGGGATCCTAGTTCTATAAATATGCGCCTATGGGTTCACCGATTTCCGTCCATTAACACAAGTGAGCCGTAATTATTTATTTTTTGGAGGGGAGGGGGGTGGGGGATACAGATATCACTGGCCGCCATATTGGAGGGGGTACACATATCACCAGTGATATGTGTGCGGGGATACACATATCACGGGGGTACACATATCACTGCGACACCGTGAGAGGTCCGGTAAGGGGTCTGGAACTGATTATGAGTTATTAGTGCCAGAACCCCGCAAACCTCTCCACGACTCGTCTCCAATCTTCCAGCGAGCAAAGATACGCTAATGGTGATGGCCTGCTGGAAAGTTAATTAACATAAGGCGTAACAACATGTCTCCCTGTCGTGTTTTTACAACAGGATTGGTGGAACGCAACTTCGTACGCTGACTACTACCGCACGTGGAATGTTGTAGTGCACGATTGGCTGTACGCGTACATCTACAGGGATGTTCTAATTGTGAGTAGCGTCAGTAATTACAGTGTTATAAAAAGTAATTGGACAGAGTTGATTTTGTGGTGCTATTGGTCAACGCAGCGGTAAATCTTCTGCCGCGCATGTGCAAGCGTTGAAACCGCAATGAGGCAGCTTCATGCGTCACATGACTAATAACAACAAATGAAAATAAACTGCACCAGTAACATGGTGTTTGGAAAACGTTTGAATTTTATGGCTAAGTTCAAAACAAAGCGATAAATCAGTGGAAAACTCCGTAACTGAATAAATTTAGTGTAAGACGTATCTCAAGTTTTCCTTTTCCAGGTTTTGCTTTCTTTTATTTCCACTAACTTTTTAAATTTTTTCCCTATATTTTGTGTGCGCTGAATAATCCATTTGCACATGCCCGACGTTTCACCGCTGTGAGGATTGTCCGAGTGACTGGGATATCGACAACGCAAAAAACAACCAGAGAATAACTTGTCTGTAGTCTATTCAGTCAATATGTTTCAATTTCAGCGAAAATACCTAATACGATGCTATCGTCCTCAAATCACCTTCAGCATCATTTGTTCTCAATTGTTGTGTATTGCCCTGGGTGCACTTCCCACTCAAGTTGTGTGTTCAAGAAATTTGATGTTGATATTAACTTGGCTCCAGCTAAGAGATTGTGTTTTTTTTTTTGTTTGTTTCCCTCAGCTTGTTAAAAACCGTCAAGTGGCAACGGTGACCGTGTTTGTGTTGTCCGCCATTGTTCACGAATACGTGTTAATGTTCGCTTTTCGCTTCTTCTTTCCGATTCTCCTCTTCATGTTTGGTGGCATTGGATGTAAGTCGTCAGTTGTTTTTTTTTTTTTATGACTTATATTCACTTGGGGGAATGAAATCAATGCTCGAGACGCCTTGAGGACGTAGTTAAGATGCAATATTTGCTTACCATTTTGAGCCGATCAATTCGAAGCTTTAACAGCTCCCCTGACAGCTCACCGGCTGTCGACTGTCGCCTGTGTCCTGAACCTTGACGAATTACGTATTTACCTGCGCGCCACGTCTCATATTGGAATAAAGGGGGTAACTTTCTAAAAAAACTGTAGTGCTGCGTCGGTAGGGGGTATTTTAAGGTAATTTGGTTTTATCAACTGAGTCGTTCACGTAAATTGGACGCCGTCAAGTTTGAAGGCTGACGTTTTGAGCGCCAGCCCCTCGTTTGATTTCACTCTGACGATTAACTAGCGCTCAAAACTTCATCTTAAGAAACTCTTTACAGTGGCCATGCAATTTGCATTGTCAACTCAGTTGATTAAACCAAAAAAAAAAAAAAAAACAGGTCAAACATTAGGTTAAGGTTTAAGCGTCCTTCGTCAGACTTCTTGAAGTAGCAGTGATAAACACGAAGGCGCGCTTTRAAAAGGAGCCTTAGGTCCCACTGGACCATTTGTCAATCAACCGTCATGTGATGTAGAACTCTTAGAGTCAAGTCAGCTTGAGCTACAGCTACTCCAAAGCAGTGAGCAGCGGGCGCATTCCTTAAAATTGTTTTATGTCTTCATCACAATACAAGAATTTTTGAGATTTGTATTTCCTTTCTCCAATGGAAACTGTCTTCATTTATGGCGGTAAATTTGAGATCGAAGTAGGTGGTTCGCACGTTAGCTCTCATTAGCTCCTTTTGTTCATCTACCAGCATTTACATTTGACCCGCACACGTCAATGGTGAGTGACAAATGAGCCTAGGTCTTCCCAGGGAGGACTTCCTTATATAGGGCGCCTTCGTGTTTAAAATCCTTCTCTTGTTACGTGGGACTCTGAAAGTTATAATTTATGTGAAAATGACCATGATTTATGATGATCTTGGTTAATAATATCGTTTTCCCATTCTTCTTTCAATTTCAGTGTCCTTTGTGTTCTTGAAACCAAAGAAACATGTTGAGAACATATCTCAGGCTTGGAACGTGTTTATGTGGATCACGCTGATCCTCGGTAATGGGCTGTTAATGTGCTTGTACAGTCAAGAATGGTTTGCCCACCGAAACTGCCCCAGTAAGAGTGTAAGTAGCCAAAAGTTACCGCACCCACAATTTATTTTGGTCTCTCCAGGTGAGAGGTAGCGTTAGATAAATTATGTTCGACGATTTGAGCGTTATACTTTTGAGTGGCGCCCCTGAAAACATGAATACATGCCGCAAATTATGCTGAATTTATTAATTTAAAATAAAAGCAATTAAAAGGTCCTTTCCCCCCTTAATTCCGGCCTACCACCAAAAGGTAAAACTTGCTCAGAATAAAAGGCTTACCAAACTTAAACAAGAAAAGCAGGGACAGCACTCACGCTACAGAATTTATCCCTTGTTGAACTGCAGCTGTACCTGAAAAGGATTTTTTCAAGAAGTGTGGTCATTACGCGTGCAATGTGCCCTATGGTCTGACTAAAGCATTTTGCCCAAATTTATGGCAGTATAATTTATCTGGCCCTAGCAGCTTAGAAGGGGGACTGTTTTAGGTTGGATGAGGACATCAAAACACTTATGGCTTTTTCATTTTTCTCTTCTTAGAAATCATTTCTGGATCAATTAACTCCTCGATCTTGGAGTGAGGAGTGTCTACAACTGTACCAACACACGCAATAGAGAAAACGCATCGACATGACATATACATGCATCACATGTAACGTGTACAGGGAAACAAATTACCTATCATGATCATAAGCTAGAAGCCAATTCTTCCCTACTGTTATAAATGATGAAAGAGAGTCTTTTTAATTTCCCAAGGAAATTGATTTGATATTTTTATGTGACTTTTATTTGTTCTGATTCAATCGAGATTAACCTTTGACCCCTAAGAGGGACTGGTATCTAAGTTCTTCTGACAATATCACCCTGGAATGTCATATTAAGGCCATGAGAATATAAGAAACGATCAGCAACTAAGGAAGCTCTTGATTGATAAACCAATTCTCCTTGTCAGCACCTTAGGAAATGTATAGAGAACAGTATGGAGAATATGCAAAGTGATATTTGGGTAAAAAGGGTTAACTCACTCCCCCTTTTTAACTTAAAGGATTTTAGCGCAGGAATTGAATTGGACACTTTTAAGAGTTCATCGGTTTTTTTGGATCAATTTCGAAGACAATTGGAAACCTTGACGTGAAAGGGAAAATAATAAAACAGAACACCTTGCCAAATCGTTGTTTCGTGTCATTTATGTCATTAATATGATATTTGTCATGCAGTATAAGGTTCGTCTGTTATTTTGTTATTCAAAGTTCGTATCTCGTGTGTGATAAAGAGAGTATTTCCCCACATAATATCTAGACAAGCCAGCAGACAGTGATGGTAGTAAAGGAAAATTTTTAGTTGATTCAATGTCAAACTCTCCAAACTACATCAAGACTAGTATGGCAGACGGTAAGGGGAATTACTTATGAGATCTTGGTAACGCCGAGGAAAACGTCAAATTAAAGAATGAATTTAAATATTTTTTACTGTTTCAAACGGCGCCATACCACAACTTCAGCTTAACAAATGTGAATATCTCTGAGTTCTAAAATCGAACGTAAATACTTCACTCTGTCGAGGATCCCTAACTCTGACCACGCAAGTTTTGGTAATCTTACGTTATTGTTTTACAGAGGACAGCTTGGAAATGTACAAAGCTTTAAAGAGCACGTACTCAGTTATTGTTCTACCAATCAAATGTGTTGTTTTGCCTTGTTCTCGTTTAGTCGCCGCCTGGTTTAGAGAGACTTGAATACTTTTGGATGGCTTCCCCGTCGATTAAAAGATAAATTTATTTGTATTCAATTTCAGCATAATATATATCAGAGCAGCGTTTAGCTCCAAATCATCGCGAACAGTCACAATATTTCGCGTCGGGGTTCCCGTCAGTCCAGAACAATTTTCAACTAATTGTCGAAAGTAAATTGGAATTGCTTAAGTTTCACTTTATTTCATGATTGCCACAGTGATAGGATGGTAAATACCCAGACAATTTTAAAATTTCTGTCTTCTCTTCACAACCATCCTATTTGTATGTACGTAAATTTATACAGGGTAGCCCAGTTCAGCAACTTAGCTGGTTTAAATGAGGAGAACATCCATCACACAGTAATCTCGTGCGTGGGAAATTAACGTCTCCTACCCCTAACCCTGCAGGAGAAAGGACGTACGGTTTATTCGTTCTTATCCGAGAAGCCTAGAATATCTATCCATTTCTTGATATTCTATAGAAAAGTAGCAAATTCTCCTCAGTTATTTAAAGACCCTAATTGGTCCGGCCAGGGCTTGAACCCTCGACCTCCCGCACAACAGTCCGGCGATCTACCAATTGAGCTGACCATCCTCTCCCCTAAAACATGAATTTATGCCTTCACGAAGATTCATACAGTGAACACGAGACGATACAAAGGACCTTAACCAAACCGTGACACAACGGCAGTGAGTATTAGCTCAGCAGGTACATTGTTAAAAATTTGTACATTTCTTGGCCTTCCTTGCCAAACAACAACATTAGCTTGACGTTCCATCTCATTGACGATGTCTACCAATCCGAGACCTTTCATGACCATGAAAGAATACATAATTTTAGAATATAATGGAAATGGAAAAAACAAACAATGCATGATTTCATTCACAAACCAACTTGAACTTGCACTGCAAAGGGAAAGGGAAAGGAAACTGTCTTCATGCTTCATCATAAAGAAGGTCAAGAAAAGTTGAATGACTTCACATTAAATTGAAACTCCCTGACTTTTCCCTGACCTTGAAAAAATGAACAATCGGTTCATGCTTTAGCGTGCACTATCGAGTTATGGAGCACGCGGAAGTTTGGAGAGCACGAAAGAAGCGTAAGAGTTGCCCAAGGCGATAGCCGAGGGCAACTCTAGCTTTTTGAGTGCTCTCCAAACTTCCCGAGTGCTCCATAACTCGATAGTACACAGCTGAAACTGAAGCATGAACCAATTGTTTTAGAACCAACTGTTTTAGAACGTAGCCGGTGGAATTGTGCATAAAATCCGACGCGAAAAACGGACAACAATATCAATTGAAGCGAATCGTGACGGCGCTGATGCCGAGTCTCCTTTTCCGTTGTTTTTCTCTTTTTCTGCCTCATTTAAGAACTCTAGCCCATGCAAGGGAAAAGTTCGAAAAATTGTCTTCGTTTTGGGACTAGTATAGGCCGAGTCTCTTTTTGTATCTATTATTGTCGCGAAATATATTATTTTTCTCCGCGCTAACAATGGCCGCTCGCGCGAAGAAAATAATTTCTGGCGAAGCGATTTGCTCACGCTATCAGGGTGCACTATCGGGATTTTGAGCACGCTTACGTATACTGAATTTGATTGCGCGGCTCTGTTACCTATGTTCTAAATGTATTTTTCCCTCACTTTTACCTGACCTGTAACAACCATGTTCGCGAATTAATTGTGCTTGAAAACTCGAGCCACTCCGTGACTGTTCCATCGTTAAGCTATCACTATTCGGTAACTCGCGTTTTGAGTAGGTCGTCTTTACATTAAATTCTCATTGGCCAATGACGGTGTCAACTTTCACACTGATTGGCCGTTGCGATTACCTTTGTTTTGTTTGAGCATTAAACTTCGACTTGATGAACTTGACCTTGTTATCAAAGCTCGCTGCTCTAAAAATCGAACTAAAAATTGGGTAACTTGACCAAGTAAATATCACGAATAAAAATGAAATAAGGAATACTCAGGGTCGCATATTAAAGGATGGTTATTTACTATTCACACAAAACTTACAAATCTTTGTCTGATTAGCAAAGATCTTATTCTTTTTGTATTCACAGAATGGTAATTATAACTTCTATTAAATACATGATTTTGAGCATCTTTAAATTCGACTTTACATATTCTTGAACAGCGGGCTTCGAATTCGATCATTACATCCAATATCAACAATTCAATTATCTTTAAAATTCTTCATTTCGCACTTTTCTAACGCGCCAGCACTTTTAGTCCTCTTCAGCTGCAAGCCGATGGAACAAAACAGTCGGAAACCAGCCGATAAAGATGAAAACGATGAAACGGCAGTGAATCACGGAAGAAAATTATCCATACCCAACACGTTCCCAAAACACACTAAGAACGAATGGGATTTTTCATAGCTCATGACGTAACTAGCTTTTTTTTTTTTTTTTTTTAAGTCCAAGCGGCTATTGTTGAACACAGACCAAGCGGCATTTTTAAGTACAGTCTCGGCACCAGATCTCACTCTTTTTTCCACCGTCATGTTGAGCTGGGGAGAGGATCTCAACCTTCACATTTCTCAAGGGAGAGAGTGGGGAGTGGGAACGGGAAAATTACGTACGAGGTTGAGAGGATTTTCACAAAGGTAAGCAGATAAGGGAGAGAGAGAGAGAGGAAGAGAGGTCATGGGAACGATAATGTCTCAAATTGAGTTATTTCTGTGACGTCACTGATTCACACAGACACTTTCGGAACACCATGCGACACGTCCAAGCGGAAATCATCCAATAGAAAATCAACACTGCGCGTATCGCTATCAGACAAGTCTGCTAGGACCAAATCGCTTCCCACTGATTCAGTGTCTACGTCATCATGTTCCTCCAACTGAGAATAGGGAGGTGTGGGCGTGGTCATGTGACTACTGCCAGACACAGTGATCTTTTCCACTCGCTCTGTCCGGTGTCTCTTCTCTAAAAGTTAATTAAAAGTAACTGCCGTTAGCTGAAAGTTGGAGCTGCACTTTTTCAAGAAATCGTATTTCATTTTCTCAAATTTTAATCGTAATTGAAGAAAACAAAAAAGAGACGAGAATCTCTGAAAATTAAAAATCAAAGTTCATGTATGAACGAGGCTATCAATCTAGTGACATCGAGTGCTCAGGGACGGAGGGTAGGGTTTTTTCCAAAACTTAAAGTTTAAAACACAGCTTCCTAAACCCTCGAGTGTTGAGCCCGCGAAATGTGCTGGCCGCCGTGGTTGCCAAGTAAAGTTGTAGGCTAACTTTAGAACCTTTGTTGTGTGATTAAGTATTCACTATTTTGATGGGCCATATAGTAAATGATTAAGACTTTCACACACGGTGAAAAAAAAGAAGTATCATCTAAAAGTTACGTATAAAAGTTTACAGGCCTTCAAAAGAAAGTTGGTATATGACAGCACTAGAAACTTCACAATTGCAATACGTTCAGCACCTTTTAAAAGACGTTGCCAAAACTATGGAAAATGCAAAACCATTAGCGTGTTGCAATACGCTCTGAATAAATCTTGTTGATAACTTCCACTAGGAAAACCTAAAATATATGCTTTGAACGACACAAATACACATTTTATCCAAAATAAGGTCATACCTGGATCGATATCACACCGCCATATGTCGATGCTTTTTCCCAAATCCGCCTGTGTGCGCGTCTTGCCACCAAGAACCAATACACAGGCAAAAGGACGACTTATATTTCTCCTTAAATCTGCGCTCACTGGAGAATTGACGTTCAAAAGTTCTTGACTGTACACTCGGCTTTTTTTGCCTGAAGTGACTCCCTGTGCTGGGAGAGTCTGTGCTTTAAGCTGATGATCTTTTTGTGCAGTATTTTGATTTGGATTTGGATGAAGAGAATCATCCGAAAGAGTCATTCCTCTTGAATTCTCGTACACCTCTGAACTAAACATGGACGCCGGTCGAGGTTGACTGCGTTTATTGTCGCCGACGCTTAAAACAGAATTGTAGAACGGCGCCGTGGAATCAAGAGAACCCAGTGATGCTGAAGACATGTCCCACCGGGCAACAGATTCACACCAGGACTCCGGCCTGGTAGTCGTCGGTTTACTGTTCAGTCTCTCTTCTCCAAGGAAGCCTGAAGACATAGGGGTGCAGGGAGGGGCAGAGTGAGCCGTGGACGGTCGAATGGAATGAAAAGCGGACGAAGAAACTACTCCTACTGAGAAACAGCTACGGACGGGTGGCGATATGTCACCGCGTGGACGGACCGTGCTCCACGTGCGGGCACCTGAAAAGGATGGGTAAGGGACCAGTCATTATCTATTACCTGGCGCAGGAGGAGGAGGTTTGGAGGATTTTGGGGGGAATCACATAGTTTTCAAGGGGAGCGGAGGGAGGGGGTCAGTCGTCGCTAACAGAGCATAAAGGGGGAACCATAGAGATTTGACTGTCAATAAGTTGGGGTGATTAGAATACTAAAGAGCCTTAAGGAGATCAGGTAAATTTTATCATGACATAACCCTCCCCTCCCTTAAGCGATATATTATGACCGGCCCGGCCCATAAATCAGCTTTAACAGAAGAAAAATGCAATACAGAAAGGAAGTAAAAGGGAAGTTTTTCAAGGTGGCCGTTCACAAAATTTTCACCAATTTCAGTAAGTAGTAAGTTTATTTTGAAACAAAACAATACTGGTGGAGGGTTGTGTGGGCGCTTATTCTAAGCTGGGCGCTGGTTGTTAAATCAAATAAATACGGTAATCTTCGGTAGCTACCCGTACACTTTTATTGTACTTCCCACTTTCATCAACGAAATATTTCACTTTATTCAACGACAATAAGTTTCACCCCTATAGGTTCCCTTAATAAAATTTTGTACGACACAAAAATTCCAAAAGAGTGGGAAGACTTGGATTCGTTTTCTTCTAAATTAAGCTAAAATGGTTTGAAATAAAGAAAGCATAAAATGTGGAGTTAAGTTGCTGGCCCTTACCCAAATCAAACCGCCATATTGTATTCTGCAAAGCCCCATCGGTAGTTTCACCTCCAAATATCAACATGCCTTCTCCAACCTGGCGCAATAAGACAAAAATAAAATAAAATATATCTTTCCATACTCAGCCTGTTGCAGTTACTCTCTGCGTATTTGAGCCCAAAAACCCGGGCAGGCTACCCTATGGTCTGAACAGTCACAGAAAAATTTTCATCCGAAAATGGTGTTCAACAAAACGAAGTTTATACAAAACAATTACAAGAGTGGAAGTTACCTTAATTGCAGAGTGACCAAACAAAGCCGGCGGACCTCCTCGGCTCTTCATCCGCGTCCAAGAATGACTCACTTAAATGAAACAAAAATCGTTTTTTACCATTAAACATTATCCGTATTTCCTTCTAACCCTAACGTTAACCCTAACCCTGGAGAATATTGGCCCGAGGTCGTAGTAGTACAGACTGAAGGCAGCTAGGACCGTACAAAAACTGTTGAGGGTCAATATTCGCCAGTACGGTACAGTAACTGAAGTCTCGGTCGCTTCCAGGTCCTCCGACATACTACTCGTCCGTAAGGCTTTTTCGATAGTGAACTGAAGAATGATTATTAATGCATGCAACTATTGACGTTCTAAATCACCTACAAATGTAGCAAGTCTTCTTTCAATTTTTTCCACTATTACAACTTGGAAATATACTGTGCTTATACCCAGTTAGGTTGAAGCATTTTAACTCTCTTACGGTCTTTGTCACCAGTTCTTAAGTGGAAACTAAACTTAACGACATTTCTGTAAGTCAATATTCATACCAAAGCTCCATCGCCACAGGTCGTTCCTGGACTGTAGACCCTCCAAGCCCCCATACACCCACATACCACCGGCTCCCACAGCCGCTGAGTGACTGTAACGAGGGCTTGGTCCCTCTCCTTTCCATTTGACCCTTATCCATCTCGCAGTATCTGAGTAAATCAAATCACACTTTTAGGATCATCAGAAACGGGCAGCTTACCACAGCTTTTATCACAATGGGAAAAAATCTTCGCGTGATGCGAAAAATGAGAGCTATTTATTGTAAATTCTGACGAATTCCTTCAGGTTGAGTTTAACATAGTAATAAACGTGAAAATTTCACGGTACATCATGCGCCGCTCTGATTCAATAGAACAAGACTTCGACTCAGATGAAGGCAAGGGTGCAAATGAAAACCTGTTTTAATCCAAGCCTGATTTTGAAAAGAAAGAGTCCAGGGCTATCGCAAATTGATCTCTTGCACTTCTTCGCTTGAAAACCGCACAAATTATCATCTTTTCTACAGGCTAAGAGGGCAACGTGAGTCTTTAAAAGACAAAAGCTGGCTATTTTGAACCCTAAATTGAACCCCCACCTAATTCGTATTGCCAGAGTTCATCACTGGCACCTCTCATGTCAATGTAACCACCAAATACGAACATTGAACTCTCGTGAATCACAGCCGTGTGAGACCGTCGCGTGCCTGGGCCCTAGGAAAAGATGAACAATTCAACAAGTTATTAAGATCTAGTAGGTCGATTGTCCTTACTAGCTAGCATGGATTTCCTCCGTGATTAGTTCCGAGACTTAAGAACCACGTATGAAGGTGTCACAGTTTGATGTATAGGCGGATTCATGCTGACGTCGTTGTTTACATTTTTGCTCATTTGCATACGGCTTTGCGCAAAGAAGGAAGCATGTTAGATACAAATTGACTTCAGGCAGCTAAAGAGCTAGAAAACCTTAGTACATGGGGAAATTTTTAGCTCTTTGGGTGTAATATTCAAGGAGAAATAGTCCATCAAAAACTGCAAAATTTCTGGGTGGCAAAAGCGCTAATGAGCTCATACATTCTATGTAAAATTTTGAGTTTTTAAACCCGTGTTGCACAAAAAGTATTCAATGCATCAGGCTCGTATTCATTGGCCGAGTTAATCGTACTTTGACCTTTCGATATTTAGAACTGATTTATTTTTAGCTCCATCAGAAACTGAATTGCTTATGCTAATGAGGCAAATATTGTAAAGAAGGATTCCCCTATAGTCCATTTCCGAATTACCCTTGGCCTCATTTTCAAAACGAGGCCTGGTGCTCAACCATTCTAGTGAAAATGAGTTTAGTTTGCAAGTGAATGAAAACTTATTATCATATGAAAGGATGAGCACCAGGACTCGTTTTGAAAATGAGGCCAGAGGTAATTCGGAAATGGGCTATTCTTCTAAATCTCAGCATAAAGGGAGGCCCTGGTAATGAGATTTGTATTAAGGGACCAGTCATTATCTATCACCAAGGGGAGGAGGGGAGGGTGGAGAGTATTTTTTTGGGGGGTGGTCACATGTTTTTTATTGGGAACAGAAGAGGGATCAGTCATTGTCAACAGAGTATAAAGGGGGGTGGAACAATACTGACTGCAAATTACCTGCCAATGAGGGGGGAAGGGGGTCGTAAGAATATTACAGAGCCTCATGGGGGGGATCAGGTACATTTCATCGTTACAAAATCAAACTCCTCCAGCCCCCCAGCTCCCCCCAGGCGAAAAATAATAACTGATCCCTAAAACGACAAAAAGAAAGGAAAGTTATGTGTTGATCAAGCAAGTTTGAGAAACACATAACAGACGCTTACCCATGACCTCGCTGCTTGTTTCGTCCACTCTCCCGAACCTGAGGAGGGTATGGAAGGGAATGTTTAAGTAGACAATTACGAAGTCTAAAACGAAAAATTGTTCCACCAATCACTTACGGAAGTTGAATGTCCACAGTGGCGTCTCGTTGGTTGAGGTGAATTCTCCCCCAAATATATACATATTACCCTACAATAAGCAAAAAAATAAGACAAAACATTTGCAGTGGTTTCTGGAGCATTTTGTGCCATCTGTACGAGGTTTGCACTTCGTGCAGAAGCAAGAACACACAACAAAGATGGTCTTAAATCTGTCGTAACCACAAATCTTTGTCTGACTCTACTATAATTAGTCAATCGAATTTGATTGGTCGAGAGAATGGCACAAAATTTTACACAGTGAAGTCACGGTAAAACCAAAGAAATCTGAAGTTACTCTCGAATCTAAATTAAAATTTCAATAAAGCGACCCTTACCTTGCAAGTGAGAGCAGTATGTTCCTGTAGGCACGGCGGCCTGAACTCGCCTTCAACTGGCATGTTCTTCCACACGTTATTAGCTGCGATCCCAAAACACAAAAGTTGCTATCAGTCGAACTGCTTACACACTTCAAATCCCTGAAAGAAGTCCAACTCACCTATATCGTATCTCCAGAAGTCTTTTAGAGTTCCTCTGGTTCCTCGACCTCCATACACAAACACACCACCACCCCAAACACACACTGAGTGCCTACTACGTGCCCAAGGCATGCTAAGACTGGCTGGAAAGACTGGACTCCACAGATATTCTGCGTTGGCATAACTACCGTTGAACACGGGTTCTAGGGAAAAGTAAGGTTGAGTTAACATCATTGGTCGCAAATTATTCTGGAAACAAATAAAATCATGACACAAATAAACTACTTTTTACTCCTGACCCCTTCCGCACTCCACAATACAGAAAGTTATTACAGATAGATTCAAGAACTCTTTCATTAATCGCTTAATTTTCAAATACAATTTAGCTATGTGAGCTTATAATTTAGATATATATACTTTTTACTCAAATATTGTAACATAACATATGTATTTTTTATCTTGTGAGGAAATAAAGACTACTATACTACTATACAAACTATATCAATGGCGGCAGTATTCAATTAATTAGTTAATATATAGATTTAGCCAAGCCTAAAAGCGGAGCTCGCATTTTTTTTCTGCACGTCTCAAGGGCACAACACCTTGCCCCGGCCAGGATTAGAAACCGGGTCGTCCGACTCGGAGCCCAGTGCTCTGACCACTGGACTACTGGAAAAAGCCGTGGCGTTGACGTGCCCGTGGTACAGTTGACCGCGCATGCTAAAAGTAGCACCTTGAACGGACGCCCGTACGGTCACAAGTCCAAATTTTTTCGGCTTGATGGGTTACTACTTCCATTTTGTATAATTATGGTGTTTCGCTCTGCGAGCTCCGCTATAAGACGAAAATAATTCAATCATTTTCGAAAATGGCCGCTGTTTGATAGACCTTTGACTCCTAACCACTGACTGGCGTGAATTTCTCCTTGCGTTATCGCCCCTGAATCAAATGTAAAGGCCATGAGAATAAAGGAAACGATCAACAGCAACAGGAGCTGCTGATTGTCAAACAAATTCTCCTGGTCAGCATCACATGAAATGTAGAGAAAACAGTGTGGAGAATATTGCCAAGTCGTTAGGGAATTCGAAGTGTTTTGATCTTACCTTCTTCATCACCGCCCTCTTGCAACCCATCAACCCATGTTTGACTCAACAGTTCTGTGTGTCTAGAAAAAAAATACAAGGAAAGATTAAAGAATTATCAAAAACGACGTTAGTTTTTGTGCAACACAAATTTCCAAACAACAAAAGAGTGTACACGCCGCGGTGTTAGATTTTGGCGAGAAAATGCTATGGCGGTCGCCTTTTTCTGACGACAATGTTGTAGCAGCATAAACACGTTGTCGAAACAATAAAATCTGTTCAGTTTAGCCGCCAAATCGCACTTTTTTACCGCAAGAGTAAAAGAGAGAGAAAAAGAGTCTTCAAGTAAACGAGGAATGCACCATACCGTGCTCCTTGATGCGTTGTTATCACAAAACCAGGTGGCCTGTGGCTCTTTTGACCACGGTCATGCTGTGGAAATGATAATGAAGCAGTAAATAACAGTCTAGAGAACATTTTTACGATTAATTAGACATAACTCCAACTCCAAGCTCTTACTAACTTGCAATCCTGTGTTGAACTGTTTGTCCTTGATACTGGAATGCTGAAATACCGAGTCCACAACGAGAGGGTGTCTTCTCATCCAGCTTACGAACTCTGCCTTAGTCAGTTTTACATTCTGTACAGGCAGGCAAAAAAAAAGACATCAGACAGACCAACAGACAGACCTACAGACAGACCAACAGACAGACCAACAGACAGACCAACTGACAGACCAACTGACAGACCAACTGATAGACCAACAGATAGACCAACAGATAGACCGATAAAAAGGCAGACAGACTGACAAACTGACAGACAAGACAGGCAGGCAGACAGGACAGGCAGACAGAAAAGACAAGCAGGCAGACGGACTGACAGGACAGGCGGACAGACAAGACAGGCAGTCAGACTGACAGGACAGGCAGACAGACTGACAGGACAGGCGGACAGACAAGACAGGCAGGCAGACAGACAAGACAGACAGACAGACAGACAAGACAGGCAGACAGACAAGACAGGCAGACAGACAGACAAGACAGGCAGACAGACAGACAAGACAGGCGGACAGACAGACAAGACAGGCAGGCAGACAGACAAGACAGGCAGACAGACAGACAAGACAGGCACATAGACTAAAGGATAGAGAGACAAAACGTGGACAGACAAACGACAGAAAAACAAACGCACAGACTAGATCCATCAAATGTCCATGATACGTAAAAAACGCCCATGATACGTAAAAAAACAACAAAACAAAAATAAAACAAGGAAAACAAACAAACAAAAAAAGGAGTGATATTTTTGAAGAAAAACATCACTGAGGCCCTTTTTCTCTCAGTGAGGAATGACAAAATTGGCTCAATTAAAGGTGACGCCACCCAAAATTATAACTTGACTTGTTTTCTTCTTTCGGGTCCTTAAATTTTACCATTCGATCCTCGGTTGTACTTTTGAACTTTCGCGACAAATTAATAATTCATATTCAGAATTAAAAACTAGCTGTGTTTGCCAAGTATTATTACGGTGCTTTGTTTTCATTTGACCTTAAGATTACAACTACCATTTTAAGACCTTCACAAAAATGAATTTTAAAAGTACAACACTGTATGAATTAAACATACATGCGGAATAGATTTGACAAAAACGGAATAGAAAACGTGAAAGCTTTCGCTACTAAACGTTAGATTTTTAAAAAAGTGCGAATTCTAATTCACCAGCACTCTTAAAAAAACATATTTAAGCACGAATGGTGTTCAGAAATGCAACTGCAACAAAGCGCGTTCTCGATATAAGTTACCTTCCGTCTCTGATGCAACATCACGTAAACCCATGTTATGAATATTACGTAGCCCTGCGGAATGAATACTTTTTCTAATCTACAAATTGCTAACGGTAGAGGCAATTTATCGCGAGCTACAAATCTTAGGACGTCTTTAAACAAAACTGACTCAAACTACGCCGCCTTATTATTTTGTAAAGGTCACAACCTCGCTCTTTGCGTGAGTACTAACGTTTGATGTGCACGCCTAACTTGGAAATTTATACAAATGTAAACCATAATTATAAAAGAGGAAACCCTTCATTTACTTATATACCCCGTAAAATACTGTAAATTTGAAGGCAAATGTAACCTGGTATGACGAAGATTATTTCAAGTTTTTTTTTGTAGTGCAATATGGCATAGTTTTCGAGTTTCGCCTTCGCCATGACAGTGTGCGACGGAATTAATCGCAATTGAGCTTTAGCAGATAAATCGAGAGAAACATAAGATAATGAAATCGGTATCTCATCTCTGTAGTGAAAACTTACTCTTCTTTTAAGACTTTTCTTCTTTATGACCTCCTTGGTTTCGCAAACGCTGACGAAAGACGAACTAACCACTCAAAAATAATATGTGCGAATTGTGAGACCAGAAAATCTCGAAAGGGCACGCTTTTAGTGAACAAGTGAATGAAATGCTAATGCGATGAGGTGATGTTGCACAAACACACATCATTTGAATTTCTAATAGTTTCCAAACCTATCATTTATATCAGGTGAACAATATCAAGATGCCTGTCTCGCACAAGTGGTTTGTCTTCATTGAGCACCTCTCAGATCTCTAACACAGATCACAGACATTTCATTGTTTTCAACACTTAAATTAAAAAAAAAGTCAAAAGCACAGAGGAAATGCAAAGAGGAAAGTAGTGACAAGTCAACAGGGAAGCGCTAACAAGACACAAAAAAAGACAATCCACAAGGGTCCATTGGTGGAAAACACGGCCAGTAGAAAAGAGATTAAAAAAAATAAAAAATAACAACAAAAACACATTAAATAATTGCGAAAAAAAAGTGACGTGTACTGTTCAGTTGACCAGTCCACGTACATCAGCACTAAATTATTAAAAAAACTTGGCATAAACACTGTAGAGCTAGAAATTCGTATATTGAAAACATCTGTTGAACAGAAAAAAATATTACGAGTTCTTTCTGCCATTGAGTGAAACCCATGCTGAATCTAACTCGGAAACTACAGCCAGAAATACCATTTTCAAATTAAAACGAGTTAATAAATTTTTCATATCATCATCCTTTTTTATGTTTTTTTCCCTAAAAATTGGAGTTCCTGGCGGAGTTCGGAAGTTAAACGAAAGGGTACGCTGTGATTATGGGAAAATAATAGGAGTTCTTCGTCAAGTTCACGTCCTAACAGAATCGGATGAAGTTCACTTTCGAATCTAATCTGGTCAGCAAGAGCTTAGTAAAAACCTTTCGAACTACAGAACGGTATTGCACCTACTTAAACTTCAATGGAAATAGCAATGACGTCTCCGGGAGCGATCATGAAAACCAATTTCCTCTTTAGATGTCATCAACGGATTGGACCAAAATGGGAAATTTTTACTGTCACTTCGTCTGTTACCGATGAATGAATTATGCAAAAGATCACAAACGTCAATAAAATTCATTAAAAATTAGACCTACTGCAATATAGACTCGTTCACCTGCAGTGCAAATATGTGGTACTCACGATACTAAAGATAGTAATTCAAACAGCACGATAAAGCGACAATACCGATCGGTGATCGTTCAAAGTACGGTCGACGTGATGGCATCGTTGACTTTCAATAAGCCAGCTATTTCTAAAATGATTCGCATCACTTAGAGGAAAAAATTCAGAGGAATAAAAAAAAGATCAAAAGACTTTTTCAAGATGTTGTACTTCTTTCGGAACACCGTTTCTTGACCAGAGAGTTAGAGGAGTTTAAGAGTTATACGCCAGAAACCATAATTTATCATAGGATTAAAAAAAAAGGTTTATATGAAGTTATAAAGGAGGTTAGTTTCCAGGGGACTGTTTTTCGAAGGTCCCGGTAATTTAGCGGGCCCGTAAAGCTACTCTGTTTTCATTCAAGATGGGGGTTTCAAAATTTTGAGAATTATACAATAAAATTATCAGCTAAAGAAACAAAATGGACTGAAGAGGGTGACATAACCTGCTTCTCTATTCATTAATTTTTGCTTTTAAATTAAGACTTCGGGCCCGTTAAAATCACGATCGGGACTTTCAAGAAACGGGCCCCAGGTCTGGTTAGTTTCGAAAGAACTTGTGGCGCTGCGCCTGCGTCAGTGGGAGCTGTTATAAGATAATTTGGTTTTATCAACTGAGTTGATAATGTAAATTGGTCACTGTAACGAGTCTCTAACGCTGACATTTCCACCGTTACCCCTTCGTCAGAGAGCTTAGACCCCTCTCTCACCCAACCCATGGAGATACTCACCGCACTCTGGTCGCACTGGCTGACCGCATCACTGACAAGGTTCTCTACTACATTATCTACATCTGTTAATGCCACGCAGTCATCGCCATCTAAAATGTCAAACAAACTCGTCATATTTATTGTGCTATTCACCACAGAAAAAAATTAACCAGAAAGTGCCCGGGACAGGCATTCTAACATTCCTGCTTGACGGCTGCAAAAGAAACCAACCCCCCTCCCCCCCTCCAACAAGATTCGCTGACGTTGCATGACCCCTCCCTCCTAGGCAATTCTGCAAAGCACCGGAAATAAGAGTAGACTTGACTTGAAGTACTTCGTTTCGTCAGTTTGAATAGGAAAACTGATTCTTTCGATGAATTCTTTGACAACAGAAGAGGGTTTCCTCTTTGTTAAGAATTGTTAAAAAGGAGTTACGAAACTGTCTTTATATCCTGTAGAAAATTGTCGGTGCGTTTTAAAAGTCTGTACAGTCTCTTCGCGTTCTCTACGAAACAATAATGCGATAGAAACAAATTTTGCGTAGTTTGAGAACGCAACCATGATGTCAAATTGTCCATGTTTATATTTCGAACTCCACGCTGCCTTCAAATGGAGCAGGACTGGGGCTGGCACCGATAGAAATAGTAAACACATCAAGCCACTCAAGACATCCTTAAAAATAATTTAAGTTCAACTTTTTAGTCGACCTTCTCCCAGGGGTCTTCTGCACAAGCTTTCTTATAATTGCTCGCAATAACAACGAACTCGAAAAAAAAAAAACTGAGAGCACGAGCTTACCTGGAGTCTGGCCATCTCTGACATGAATGATTCTAAAAGGGAGGGCGGAATTGCAGAATTATTTAATTGAAGACTTAAAAAAGGAAACTTACTCAAAGAAGAAACTTAGCAAAAAAAGTAAAGTGAGAGCAAAATCTTTCACATGTTACCTGACGGCGGCGGAAAGTACAGACTTCAACATCACACTGATCTCGGAAACACTAACTCCGTCTGTTCCTGACGAAATAAAAATTTCATTACATATCATATCAGTAAAAGTTCATGTAACCGTGATAAAATGAGCAATATGATGTCATTTCCTACTCTTGCAAGGCCAAGTTACGTATTGTTATTAGAGAGGCGGCAGACAGAAAAAATGAGTTTCTTACATCGATTTTTTTCGGATCACTCGGAAATGTTCTCCTCTTTTTATCCAAGGTTTATTTAGGGATTGTTAAAACTGGGAGGCACTGATTTCGAATTTCATTTTCACTGACCGACTTCGAGTGACGCTTGAACTCACTGCAGATGACAAAAATCTGATGACAAAAAATCTTTACGTGCTTTTTCTTTTGATGGAGCGGAAGTTACATCACAGTTGATCTTCAGCGATTTCAATGAATGCAAATTGAAGAGAGAACGAGTTTTCAAAACGGGAGGCGAAAAATTCGCCGTTTTCTCATTCTACCATTTATCAGACATGTTGAACCATAGATGTAAATAGCCTTTTTAACTAAGAATGAACCGACCGAAAAGTGACAAGAGGTCAAATTTATCGAGTCGCGTGATAATAGAAAGCTTAAGCACCAGACGTTCTTGAGGTAACGAACGCCTACCGGAAGTCATAAGAGGAACTATGTACATACTGCATATGTCATCACGTTCGCGTGATCACGTCGCAGACGCCACAACGCCACTTTTCAGGTTGAAGATAGGACGCCACAAAAATATGCTGTTATTTTGTTTATAGGAGATAAATTAATGACTCAAAACCATAAAAAGCTCTTCTGCTTTTCATTAAGTGATTAAAAAACGTTTTCGTAGCGCGTAAAGTGGTTTTTGCTTAATCGATAGATTAAACGGGATTCGACAATGGCAGACAATCTTCTCGCCAAGTCTGGGTGAGTTAAGTCATTTGATTTCATGTGCATTTGAATCATCAAATACAGAACTAAGAATTTTTTTAAACCGGGTTTAAACTTATCACAAATTAGTTTGAGCTATAATTTAGAATTAAGACACTTGAGCGACATTTAGATATCATAACAAAGTGCAAAATGAGATAGATGATTGTCTTTCTGCATCGGTTGTATTTTGTAACTGCACATTGTATAACGGTAGGCATGCCTGCAAGGTTTTAAGCAACCGACTACAAACATAAGAATAACAAATTTCGCTGTGGTTAACGAATCTAGAAAAAGAGAAATGGTCCTCTAGCCATCCAGATCATGCACTGAAAACTTCATGCTCGCTCGTTTGTTCGCATTGTTTACACAACTATGAAGTGGTAAATTTCAAGTCGCCTAATAAATATGAAAGACGAATTATTCATTCTGTCAAGAGAGTGGGCTAAAGAAACTTATTCCCTTGCTCATTAAGGTCATATCTCTAGCATTTTTTAGCAAAGACATGTTAACACGGGTGGAAGTCCGTGTCTGAAAAACGTCGACTGCTTAACCTTCCTATTTCGCCCCAAGAACGAAGGCCTCGATCCAGTCTTACGCGGCTTCTCTGCCGTTAGTGTTGTCAAGAAATATGTGACGAGCACGTGATTCCCATTTCACACTTACATTACTCATTCATCGTTAAAGATAAAGTTGATGCTTGAATCAAAACGGTCACAGGGCTTTGGAGAAGCACTGCGCCTTGACAGTCTGAAGTCAGCCTTGACAAAAAAAATGGAAGACTGTACTCACTATTCGATTTAAATGTACAGGGCGGGCTAACGAAATTTTAGCTTGGGGAGCATTTGGATTTTCGGTTGTGGCTCTTTTTTATATCGGTTTTTTATATCGGTTTTGTGCCAAAAAACTTCGATTTATAATTATTTATTATTTGGATTCTGGTTTCTCTTCGATCTGAGCGGCAAATATGCCCCTTCAGTGATGTCGAATAGTCGCGAAACCTCTGTATGCTCCACTTGTTGCCATTCCATCGGATCGATTAGGATTGGATGAACAGTTTTGCATACAGTTTTCGGTTTTGATCAAATTTTTTTGCGGTGTCTCGGTTCTGTATTAACGCGAGTTGAACTACGAACTAAAAATCAAACTGCGAACTCATAGCCAAGTAAGACATCGCGATCCTTAGAATCTGAGTAAAAAGAACGAGAAAGATACGCGCAAAGCGAAACCATCTCGAGAATATCTTTTTCTCCGAGAGTTTGAACACGCCCATTTCGCTTGAAATGCAACTAACGTTTATTTCCTCTGCCCTCGATAATTTCCATCAATCTGCAAAAATTAGTTCCCGTAATAATAAACTTGAATCGACAAAAATTTAGCGAATATTTTCTCCTTTTGATAATTTCTACTCCAATTGATAAATTGCAATTAATTTGTTGAAGGCTTCGACTTCGAAAGGTTCGACGACCCGTGTTGCGTAGTTAGAAACGCAACATCTCGTAATCCTCCCCTCTCCCCCAGGAAAAAAAAAATCCTACTAATTCATGCCATAAAGAGAATTCCCATACACCCCAAAAGTGATTCATTTTCAAACGTTTTGAAATGGACGGAGGCAAAAACCGAATGGTTTAAAACATAATGAGGTTTCAAAAAGGTTATTAAGACTAAAATGGACATGACATCACGGAAAGGTAAGTTATAAAGATCTAAAATATACCACGCCTAGAATCGAGAATTGACTTCCCTATTCCAAATAGAAACACTTCAGAATACCCGTCCACATCATTTACATCGCAGTTTCATCAATGTCGTGCTCGAAGTCGCATCAGTTCATTTCTCTGATGTCGCTGTTTCAACGCCATGTCGCCCGTCGGAATTTACCCTATCAGGGCCTCACAAATCCAACGAGTTTTGATATATCAAACTGGTAAATGATGTGGACGGGTATTCTGAAGTTGCTCCTCAAACTGTAGCGAGCCCCTCCCAGGTGTTTTAGGGAACAAGGGAACTGGAACATTTATTTTTAGGGAATAGGAATATTTTCAAATTATTTTCAGGGAACAAGGGAACTCTTAAGTAGATTGTTGGGAACAAGGGAACACCGGTCTACTTTCAATAATATATATTTTTTTAACTTTCTGAGCCCCTAAAAACAAATATGGGGAACAATGATAAACATTGAGATGCAATGAATATATGAAGTTCATATATTTTGAACTGCGGTATTAGATACGTATGATGTACGATCCTCGCAGTAGATAGCGCTATTTATGCAATAGCGAAAATCAGACCTGAAAAAAATCAGGCCTGTACGGGACTCGAACCACTGACCTCTGCGATACTAGTGCAGCGCTCTACCAATTGAGCTAACAAGCCAACTGGGAGCAGGCCGTTAAGTTGATCCAACTTAGGCCTGATTTTTTTCAGGTCTGATTTTCGCTATTGCATAAATAGCGCTATCTACTGCGAGGATCGTACATCATACGAATGATAAACATTTTTGAGGATCAAGGGAACAGCGCAAAATTTTTCGGGATCAAGGGAACATGAGCTAAAAACATTTTTGGGAACAAGGGGTTTTATTAAATAGAGAACAAGGGCTAAAATCCAAAAAGATTAAGGGATCAAGGGAACATGTATTCCCCCCCCCCCTTGGAGGGGTCCTGTAGTATAGACGTGAAAAGATTAATTCCTACCATCAAGGTTAAACTTTTGAACAGCAGGAACAGCATGAGTTGGGAGAAGAAATATAAAGAAAAAAAAATATGAAATGTAAGTTAAACATACTAATTCTTAACATTATATCAATAAACAGTTAAGAGAGTAGTTTGCACAGCAATGGCTTCCAGGCATACCCCCTCCCCTCCCCCCCTCCCCTAATCTAACTTTAAATCATGGTGGCTCAGTAAACTAATGTGAGTCTAGAAGTGGCCACTTTACTCTCCCTGTTAATTTACCTGCACTACCAGATAATAACTACCTAAAGTTACTGTGGTATTTGTAGCTTATTAACTTCATTAATTGTGATTAAAATTGACCCACCATGTCAAAGATTATTTGTCCTCTTTCTTCTGTGGAACCTCTTAAACATAGAGCAAGTCCACCTGTGTGTGCAATGGTGCAAAAAGATAAAAGTACATTAAGTAGTTGTTTTACTTTTTGAGGCCAGCAACATGAATGGTATTCTCATATCCTCCTTGAGGAATTAGAGAGACAAAAAAAAAAATTCCCACAAATGATCAAATCAAGTTCATTTCTTAGCATGGTCTACCACGGTTGTAGCTATGAAATTATGCTGCCCACTGAAATTTCAAATGAGGTGGCTCAAAGGCAGTGAACAATTGTAAGTGTGTAACCTCAAAAGTATGCAGGGCTTGACACTTAAATAAATGGTAGCCGACTTAAGCCACAAACTAGCAGACATTCAGTTTTGACTAGTTGTTTTCAATTTCCACTAGCCAGTTTGGCTAATAAATAAACTAAAATTGCTGCAACATTTAAGTTGTCACTAGCCACTTGGCTAGTAAGTTGAAAAGTTAGTGTTGAGCCCTGAGCATTTGTTGTGCTTTATCAAGCGACCACTGGCCAAAAATCCAGCCAGTAATCCCCACTTTTTTGTCTGTCCAATTTTCGCTAGTAGCCACTGCTCAGCGACAACCCTGTTATACACTCACACCACGTGTAATCGGTATTTTCTAAATTCTTCTTTGGGTCTTCACTGTGTTTCTTCTGGGACACTGTTGTCCACACAGTTCAAGAAATTACATTGTTTTTGTATCATACTAAAGATACCAAAGCTCGTATCACCCACCTAAAAATTCATCACGGTCAATATGTCCATTTCTGTCTTTATCAAAAGCCACAAACAGTCTTTCTGCCAGCATCCCATCCAGTGGGAAATAATGTATACTGTAAATAAAAAAAGAAAAATCAACTTTTCATACCGGTATATATTATAATAGATGTTTAGCGCGTAGTATCCCTGAGTAATCTTACAAGTTGTGCCACTGGAAAAGAAAAGCAGATAGACAAGCGTAGCTTGCACAGCCAACTTCTCAACACTTTTAAGAAAAAATGAATCTAACACTCTCAGTTAAAGAACTGCTTCACTTCTTCTTGGGACACATATATCTGAGATTCTCAGGCAAAGAAGATTGTGCATTAACTGTAGATCATCATTCCATGCAGTTGGTTGCCCACTCATCTTTACCATCGCTTGTATATCATATAATATGATCTAATTTATGCAGTGCAAAATTTAACAGTTTAGTTGTTGTGTTGGAGGGTTTTGTTTCTGTGGTGGCAGGAATACATGAGTTCATTATGGTTGTTTAGTGTTGATAGTTTGGGTCGGCAGATGATTAGGAATTTTTCTAAGGCAGAGGTTACATCTTTTACTTGAGCTGCTGTGCAGCGTGTGTGATGAGAGAATGCACCTGGAAATAAAGTGTTCGATGTTGTTGTCTTTGAGGGTCCATATCAATATGCTTTAATGTTCTTTATGATGGTTCGAAAGGAGCTTTGGCCTGACTGCATAGTGCAGTTTACATTCGTCAGTGAGACATATCTGGTTATACTAAAGAAACAAACCCTGGGACACAAATTCAACAAGATTATAAATATATCATAAAGTCAAAATAACTTCATGCAATATTTCTAACTTCTTGTTAAATTTGTGTAATAATAATTATAGTACTCACAATGTTTTCCTGTCAATGTACTTGTCTCTGGGAGACAGAGCTGCTAAGTTTTGGTAAACATGAACCATGCTTTGGACTTCACTATCTGAAACTAAAAATAAATTCAATGTAGTCACAGGATTGTATAACATTAAGCTTATCTTAAGGAGTTGGATTACTATAGACTTGTCTAAGGCTTTTCAAAGTTTGAAAGTGATTGAAAAAAAGCTACATGGCTCGCAGAGAAAAATACCTGGACAACCACAGTCACGTAATTTTTTTCAAACCTATCAAGACAGCATGAAACCCTTCAGAAGCTCTTTTGAGAACATAAATAAGAATCTCATGGGTGTTGTCTAATCGAGACAGATGTCACCTGACTGCATTTTCATGATTATCATTTTCACCACTCTTGAAGGTAAATTTGCCAAATCATGGTCAGTATAACATCTACCCACCTACCCCTCTAATGCGACATTAACCCTTATTTGTTCAGTAGCAGATCCAGACCTTGAGCCAAGAGGGGGAAGGGGGCACTTTTATTTGTGTGTGTGTTCACCTGACAGCTTTTATTCCTTCTACACTATCTTTTAACCTAATATAAGGAGGGCCCAGGCCCTCTATGCCCCTTCCCCAAATCTGCCACTGTTGTTATCAGTTGGCTGTTGCTGGGTCAGGGGAGGGGTATATGAGCAGTTTCTGCCTACCCCAGAGGATGGGGGGGGGGGGATGAGAACCTCTACTTTCCATACTCTGCTTTCTGCCTTTGTTAGATCTCTTTTATCTCTGTCAAAAATTATGTCATTAACTATGTCACAATATGCCGACAAAGGCCTTTGAAGAGAGGAATAGAGAAACCCAGATTAAAACTTAAACCTGGATTAGCACTACTGTATGACCTTTGGACAACTGTGCCTAGACATGTTTAATCAACTAACATAATCTAAAATATAGAACCAATATATGTTGTGACATAGTGTATGAGCCATAAACACAAGAGAGAGCCAATCTGTGCATATCATCTGGATATCAATTGATTTATGTTCTCAAGTAAACATAAACCAAACACTCTAAGATATAATTGTTAATCATTAATAGCTTAGTAATACAGTCCCTACATTGAGTCATTCAAACCAAATTTTGCACATGTTAGAATTCGCTACTGACTACCGTCAACTAACATTCAAAAGACGACTGAAAAATTTAGAGAGAAAGAAGAGAAGCAAAGAAATTAATTCAATTTGCGAGCGTGACAAAAGGAGTTATCTACAGCATAACGTAATGAGCAAACATTATTTTGAATTCACGTACATCTGTTCAAAGGATCCCTTTTGTACAAATGCTTCCGCAGTGGTGGTTGTACTGCAGACTTGTTTAAAACCACGTGTTCATCTCCAGGCTGCACCTGTTTGTTAAACTCTTGCCCCATGTTTTATGGAACCTTCCATAATTGTCGACTGATGGTCTCATCTGGTCAACTTTTTAGCGCTTTCATCGTTAAAAGCGATGTGTGAAAATTAAAACTTCAAATTGCGGCACACTTATCGACGATCTCTACTCAGTGGTAAGTTCTCAAAGCTGATAACAACATCGCATTTCATCCATCTCGTAAATGGTAAGGATATTTTTTAAATCTCTTCCGTTACAAAAGCTTATTTATCCGGCGTACGTGCGTTGTCAAAACTACTATAGTGATGTCAGTTGAAATTTTACCTACATCAGAATCACTCAAGCGGCCCAAAATAACGTGGAAACTCAAACCAAAGAAGATGAAACTTCGCAGTTTTGCTTGTGTCTTTTGTCTCAGAAGATCACCTGTTTCAGCGATGGCTTCGAAATTAAAATACAGCTGACAACATCTTTACCGGATTACAGTGTGCAAGGAAACCATCAAAACATAAACACGCGTGCTTATTGAGGCGGGAAGACTGGATCGGAAGATTTCCACTTTCGATCGCGTGATGTTTCCTTTCCAGGCCTCTCTTACAAGAAAATGAAACATAATTTCATAAACATTAATTCTGAAAAGAGTACAAAATAGAATAAGATAGTTTTTCGCTTGAGCTATGAAAATTATCGGTCAGGAGTTGTCCAAGTTGATATTATGAAGAACAACAACGTTTGAATGTATTGCTTTAGGGATCTGTGAAAATTGGACTAGAATTTCTGAGAACAAGAAATTCGGCCGCAAAATTTAATTGTGAAGACCAACTTAGAAACAGGAATACACAACATCCCTCCCATCCTTGTAGAGGATTCAAGTATATTCGATAAAGGAGTCTGGGTACCAATATCTAGTCATATGATACTCACTTGATAAAACTCGTGACAGCGCGGGAAGAAAACCATTAAAACATAGTTCATGAAGTTGATTGTTAAGTTGCTTGATGTTTACCTTGAATTCGTTGTTCCGTAGGACAAAAAATTCACCACACTTTCTCTTCTTAACCTGCTCTCTTCCAAGATGTCTTCCCTTTTCAGATCGGAGGAAATGACACTTGCTCAGCTTTTTCTTCAAGCAGAAGCAGCGTACACTTGCGTGAGCGAACTTGGAGAATTGGTATGAAACTAAGCAAAACTCTCAATCCGATGGATTTATCTTAAATTTACCCTGAATTATTTACATTGATAACATACACTGAGCCTTGCCTATCGTTTTTTTCCCTCAGAGCCTGGTACAGTTTCGAGATGTAAGTACAAAATAACATTGTTCCAGCTGTATTCGATTCGTATTCGTATTTTTATTGTCATGTTTAAAACTTCTACGGAAGATCTACAGAAAATTATTTTTCGATGTCTTTTTCTCGCCAGTTAAATCCAGATGTGAACGCTTTTCAGCGTAAATTCGTAAATGAAGTGAGACGATGCGAGGAGATGGAAAGAAAACTTCGTAAGTGGACAAGGGGAGATTTTAAGATTTTTCTTATTTGGTTAAAATATTACTCTTCTCGTCAGCTCCCTAAAGTGGGTATGATTTTCATTAGGATTCCTATACAAGGAAATTGAAAAAGCAGATATACAGGTGTCAGAAGCCGAAGAATATCCAGAAACTCCTCAGTTACGAGAGATGACTGGTCTCGAGGTTGGTATAATATGATTAGGGGGTCCCTATAGGTTTTTTGGTAAGAAGGGGGTGACGTCTATTCTTGTTATCAGGGCGTAACTAATCGATAGTTTCGATACTCGATAGAAATCGAACGTAATCGCTCGTAATCGATACGAATCAATCGATTACTATCGGAATTCGATAGAAATCGATCACTCGCGTCTTTGTGATTATTGATTTTGATCGATTTCTGTAATTAGCTATCGATTTCATCGATTTGTTCGACAATGATCGAAAAGACAATGGACGAAGATTCTCTTTCATAAAGTTCTCAGTTTTACGCCGGGATGATTCACAACAGATTCGAACTAATACACAGAAGTCCAAACTGAACTGATAAACATTCCCTTTACACTTTATTTAAGACTGACTATGGGATTTTTAATAAATTTTGAGACTGAAAAGGATTAAAACATAAACAACGCAGCTGTTACGAAACTATCGTTTCCGCCTTCACAATTAAAGTCATGCTTGTAGTTACGATATCTCGAGTCCACAACTGTCATCTCCGCCTTCCGGTCACAAAGTAATGCTTGCTGCAATACATCAATATACCTTTCATGAGTCCTATTCTCGATCCTGTTTCAAATTTCAACATTAAAATACAATTTTTTGTAATTCACTTATCATGGTGGCTCAAGTTAAGAAATTTAGCAGCACATTACAAAAGTCAGACATTAATATACTTTGGCTTGTTATCCTTCAATTCGGTTCGTAAGCCGCTCTACGATTGTGATCCTCTAAACGTTTTCGAGAATTTACCATAATTCGTTCTTTTATAGTGTATGTATTGCCAAATATTAAAGGTGTTGTTTGAATAAGACAGGTTGTCGTTTTTATGGTCAGCGGCTTGCTCCGCGCTCCGGAAGCTACCGTGTGCACGCTGTAAGCGCTCGAAAAATACCCTTACACTGTTCTCGGAGAACTGATGACAGTTTGCCAATTTCCACAGTAGTGGCTCCGGATATTAACCATGATTCTGACAATGGTAGAGTACATATGCGCGTTAAAGTTTTCCTTTGATTTGTTTGTTAGTTATCGTTATTCAATACTCGTAAGCACAGCAAAGATCGAGTATACAGCACCATAGGGCTGCTGGGCTGAAATCTGCTGAAGTATCGCTTTAAACAGCTTTACAGCAGTGATCCTGATAAAACAAAATAAGAAAAGTAGCTACCATTGGAGAGAGAAGTAATATCATCTTTATCAACAAAGCAGATTCGAAGTTAAGTTACACAGTGTTATGATAAGATCAGATCACGTTTATGATTTTGGATTTCCATAAATGAGGCCAAAAATTTGTGATTATTGATTTCAATCGATTAATTTGACAAATATCGAGTACTTTCGAGTATTATATTATCGAGTAATCTATTACATTTTCTATGATTGATTTCTATCGATTAGTTACGCCCTGTTGTTTTGAACAGGACACGGGTCACGATTTTGAGGGGTGGGATTCATGAAGTAATACAAACTGAGAACCATGAGGTCTGTTGACAGGAATTTATAACGAGAACTGATCTACGTGATTTACTTCTCCCCACAAACGAGAAAGGGAATCGCGATTGCCTAAAATGCCTGCATGGTACGCTAAAAAAAGCCACAGAAAGGTTTGTCAAGAAAGTCTTCTCTGCGCACGGCCTTTGCGCTGTTGTTTTCATTGCGATCCCTTGGTGATATTGTAATAGAGACCTTTGATTTCGTAGTGACTGACCAATTTCCGAACGACGAAACCCCATGTGATGATAATATTCCGTCTTCAGAACAAGTCGAGAGGCTGATTTTCTCCTTGGAAGAGTGTCAAGAGTTTCTCACTTCAGAAAAAGTATTCGCTTCAGCAGCAGAGTTGTGTCGAGTTAATTTTTCTTCATTTCAATAGCAGGAATAAATAATAATAAAAATTTTTCTGTGTTATGGTACTATCGGATTGCCGCCACCTTTAGTTGTGTTGTGCACTTTTGACTTTGTCATTTGTTTCCTTAGTACTGACATGTTTTTCCGCGATCGCAGTGAAACGGAAGGAACAGGGACCGAGCCTCGTTTCTGCGACTAGCCTATGTTATTCGTGCAAAAGTTTGAAAAGTTCTAAAATGAACGATATCATTGTTTTGTTAAAAGAGATAAACTTACGCCTTATTGTGACAGTCACTAGACACATATTTTGGAATAAACTAGAGGCTCTTATATTTCAGTATTTTTCTATATTTTATCGTAATAATTTTTCTACTTTTAGGATGTGACCTAGTGATCGTTTTTGGAATGTAATATATCCTGGTGTTAAATGGATATGCGCAAGTTACACCTGCTTGTAAGACGTGATTTCTCAGGCACCGTTTTAACTAATTTCCTTTCGGCAAAATTATCTTGTTTGTTTTTAAATAATTATCACATTTCGATAACGAAACAAATACAGGACGTCCTTACCGCGCGCTGCAATTCGGAAAGGCGAGGTTTTGGCAACAAGTTGTAGAATCTTAAGAATGTTGTGCTACGCTTGTTCGTTTCACATAAATAGAGGCTGTTTTAGTTAGTTCTTCAGTTGGTTATTTTGAATTGCATTGGATCACTTGTGAGAAGACGAAGACTTTCTCTGTTTGAGGGTTACTGTATCCTGCTAGTTATTCCCATTTATTTGTTAATTTATTTGTTTATTCATTTATCAATTTGGCTTCAATAAAGTATTTTAGAGGTATATTCCTTAAATCCTTCTCGTTCTTGCGAGACCGCTTAATTATTCCGTCTTGTTACATTATGGTGGGCAAATACTTCAATGGATCAGTCCTGGTCAAAAAAAGTTTCAAGCAAATTAAAGAGGCCCTTTTAAGTTGAGGTAATGGACTAAGAAAAAAATTGTAAGCTGGATTTGCATTGGCGGGTAAAATCCGTCGGGATTCCAGGATTGAGAGGAAATCGAAGTCGGGATCGCTGGATTGAAGAACCCTTACAGAGAGCCAGTCTGATGAGATTTTTATTGAAAAACAAAACCTAAGCATTCTTCTCTGTCTTCATTTCTTTCATTCATTCTTCCTTTTATTAATTCTCCCATTTACTATCTTTTTTTAGGCCCAATTTGAGCAGCTTGAAAATGAAATGAAAGACAGCAATACAAATCATGAGCATCTTATGAAGAGCTTCCTACAGCTGACAGAATTCAAACACATCTTAAGTAAAACTCAAACCTTCTTTGAAGAGGTATTCAGACGTATCTGTACTTTAAAAAGGTCCATTTTACTCATGCCTTTTTTTAGTAACAATTATTTTAACCCTTTAGTACTCCCTAACATTGGTATGCAAGTTCTCCATAATGTTCATCATGCAAGGAGAATTTGTACAACAATCAAGAGATGCTTGAGTTTGCAGTCATTTCCTTTATTCACCAGGGCTGTGGTCTAGCAATGCCCAGTGGCCCCTGGCACCTTACTTTTGCTCTTAGGTGACTCGATCAGGAATCTTAGTTTTTTCATGAAAAGCTTATGCTAAGCACACTGGATTTCACAGTTTCCCTCTAATTTTTCTTAGAGCACAGCCTGGTCATAATGTTAATATTTAATTCAGGGGTGATATTGCTCGGAGAAATTAGTTGCTCCAGGTGTATAAATGCTTAACTAGTGGTCTTCACTTTACCAGTTTACCTACTAATTGATTTGTCACTCATTGGTTCAAATGATGTCAAAAGTTTTATACTTGGGTCATCTAATGCTGAAATGGAAATAGCTTTCATAGGCCTGGTTGAATTTGCAGGGGTCTTTGCTTGGTCTCCAAACACAGAAAAAGGACTATTTCCTTAATTTGAAATTTGTTTACCAGTAAATAAAATTGATTGCTTTCACTAAGGCTGCTCTAGAAGGAAGCCAACACCTAATACATGAAGCACAGAGTGGTGATTTACATGCACTCTTAGAAGACAATGCAGGACTGTATGAAATGGGAAAAGAAACTCAACTGGGGTGTGTTAACTTAGTAAATATATTTATAACCTTATATTAATTACTTGTGATTTGCCATATGTTTTTATTATAATCTGTAATCAAAAAATAATTATAGCCAATTGGAATAAATGGAAACTTTTTGCAGCTTTCTGAGCTCAATTAAATGCATAAATAAAATGCACAAATATATTGCAAGCAATAAGCAAAAAGCAAAATGTCTGCCTGTATTATATGTGAAACTGTTGAATCAGGTGTTCTTCATGCAATCTTGCATATGGTCTTTATAATGTAAGCATAAGTTAAACGTAATTGATAGTATACTTATAATAACTTCAAGGGATAGTTTTTATTGTAGCTGTAATTTTTGTTTGCAACTTTCACATTTGTTCACTCATTATCCAAATTATTGTCTTCCCTATCTCTCACATCCTTGTAGTTTTGTCACTGGAGTCATAGGACGTGAGCAAGTGCCTTCCTTTGAGCGTCTTCTGTGGCGTTCCTGCTATGGAAATGTGTTGTTTAAGCAGGCAGAAATAGAAACTCCACTGGAAGATCCAAGCACTGGACACCAAGTCAAAAAATGTGTCTTCATTGCATTCTTTCAAGGGGACCAGCTCAGAAGCAGAGTGATGAAAATTTGTGAGGGGTGAGAAAATGGGTTTTGTTATCTAACTTTTATTATTGTTGTAGTAATTAAGCCTGCACACCATGTATGAATGGAAGGATTATGTCAAAAACAACAGAGCAGACAACAATATAATGTTTATAAAGGGACTCCACAATATGTGGAAGGCATGTCTAAAGCCATTTTTGCAGATCCTACAACCCTACATTATCTGTGTTGCCTATAGTGTGCTGTGTCATTTATTAATATAATTAACTAACATTGAATTAACAGCAACAAATTTATTATTTTTTTTAGCAATTAAAATACATAACTAACAATACCTACCTACAAAATAGCAAAGCTAATCAAGGCAGACGGGAAACAAACATTTAAATAAATTCTTCAATAACAAGTTTAACTGAACGTAGGAGATGACTAAGAGAGCATGCATTTACATGAATTTTGAAAAACAGTATAATAAGTTATAGATAAGCCAATTAGGTATTACATCTTACAACTAGATTAAAATTACACGCAAGACAAAAAACAAGAAACAAAAACAAATGAAAATAAAACCTTGTAATTTTCTAAATTTATCAATTAAAGTATGCGGATGTGAAAATAAGTGTTTTATATTAAGTTCATTGTATAAGTATTAAGTAAACATAAGGATGAAGCAAACAACAGACATTTTTATTAGGCGGTTTACAAGATAATGCGGAACAAAATAGTTAAATGACTGTTTCTTTCCAGAAGTATGGTTGAGTTTTCTACCCATTGAATTTAAATGTGTCAACATTTAAATCAGTAATGAATAATGAATTTTTTTTTATAAGGTATCATGCTTCAATCTATCCATGTCCAAACACAGCAACTGAGAGACTAGAAACTGCCACTAAAGTAGACACAAGTATTGAAGATCTTCAAATGGTAACTAAAGGAAGTTTCTTTAATTTTATTTTTTTGTTTTAATTTCCACATTGATGTATAATGCAGGGTCCAAGTTACTAACTGTTTTCATCTGTTGTTATATAACCCTTTGACTCCAATCCCAAGATCTAATTGTCTATTCTCCCTCTCTAGCCACAGGCCTCCCAAGCGTACTGTGTGTGATTTTGGGGTCTAAAGATCATTAATTAGTGGGAATACCTAACATATCAATCTCAATTTTAAAGTGTAAGCATGGGCTGTTAAAAAAAGGAAAAACTGTAAAAAAAAAATTGAAATGATCTTAAAAGCAAGGAATATAATGTGTGAAGTCTCCTTACCTTTTTTTCCATAGTCTCTGTGTTGCCAACAGTTGTTTTAACACTGTTTTCGTGACTTTCTTTGTTATGTATGTGGTGCTACCCATCAACTATACTTCACTGCCTTCAAGTGGTGATGGTTGGTGTTCAGGATCGGTTGAAGTGACCAGCCTTGTGTTTTTTATATACAGTTGAGAAGTAGCACCACATGTGTTAAAATAATCACTTCTGGGAGTTAAAAGGGTATAAGGAAATGTCCTGACATGCACACACGTCTACAGTAGAACCTCAATTACACAAATCCCAAGGGAAATAACAAATGGTTTGAGTTAACTGGATTCAAGTTAGCTGTATAATTATATAAATATTGTGATTAAGGGCCATGCAGGAAGTAGCAGTTTACCAAAGTTTAATTTTGAACTAAGACTGGAACAGATTAATTGATACATGTTGTTATATATGATTAAAATTCTGTTCAGTTTATTTTGTGAATAAATTATGTTATGTTGTCTTTTTATTTTCAAATTTTCTTTTATTTAGGTCTTAAATGAGACACGGGACCATCGTTATGGCCTGTTGACAACTTTAGCAAAAAACATCAGTCAGTGGTTTATTAAGGTGTTAATTATAAATCATCATTAATAGCTAAATATAATTTGTAATTGTATATATTAATCAATAGCTTTACCAGTTATTAAGAGCATGTCCAGGCAGGGGGAATCATGCTCAAATCATCAATTTGAATTAATTTGCAGATGGCTTTTCCAATTGTCACAGCACCAACGTAAAGTTAGCAAATTAATTATGCCAAAAAATGCAAGAAATGGAGGTTTTCTTAGGGGAACCCTATAATGACCTATTATTTTCACATATTTGTTAACTCATGATACTTATAGCATTTCTGCCAAGTTTGAGCCAAATGGGTGATTTGAGTATTATCCCCCTGCCTGGTTCTGCCTGGTTTTCTTGTGGATATGCTCTCCATTATTAATATATATGATAAAATCACCAATCTTATAGGTATAGAGGCCCCTGTTAAGTTCATTGCCTTGTAATTTACTATGCAAGCATCATAAAATTAATATCATAAAAAATATGATGTGATCCTCACTACAGATTAAAATGATAAAATATTAAATGAAAATTTTGTAGTTATGTAGCTTTAGTTCTTTATGTTATTTTTTGCGTTGGTTCCCAGGTTAAAAAGATCAAAGCCATTTATCACACCATGAACATGTTCAACCTGAATGTCACTCAGAAATGTCTTATCGCTGAGTGTTGGTGTCCAGTTAGTGACTTGGATAAAATTCAGCAAGCATTGCGGCGAGGTACTGAACGTAGTGGTGCTGCTTTACCATCTATTCTGAATCGCATGGCCACTGATCAAGAGCCACCCACTTTTAACAGGACCAACAAATTTACCAGGGGGTTTCAAGCCATTGTAGATGCCTATGGAGTAGCAAACTATCAGGAAGTTAATCCAGGTGATTCCAAGTGATCTGTGTCAATCATAAATGTTTGAACTCCTTTGTAAGTTATATATAGGCATTAATTTTCCTCTAACTCACTTGAATAGAAATATATTAAGTAATAATTATTAATTTTAACATATAACTAAATATTCCACACTCAGTAACTGTCAAATGAATAAAGGGGGTAAGTTTCCAAAGAAACTGTGGTGCCAGAGTAAAAAACGTCAGCTTTGAAACTACTTACAGTGGCTAATTTACATTCATTTATCAACTCAGTTGATAAAACCAAAATTACTGAGTAACTGTCAGCTTGATATCTAATATCTAATATTATTAGAATTGATTTTTTTTTCTCTATTCCTTCATGTTTTCTTAGCCCTGTTCACCATTATTACCTTCCCATTCCTGTTTGCAATCATGTTTGGAGACTGTGGCCATGGCTTGATAATGTTTCTATTTGCTTTATGGTTGGTACTGAATGAAAAGAAATTGGAAAATTATAAAGGTGGCGGAGAGGTGGGTGTTGCATTCAGAGCCAGATTTGAAATGTTTCTGATAATTTGTAGCACTTCAAGCTGTTTCACCTCCATGATGGGCAGTATGCAGTGGCAGATCCAGGCATTGAGCTAAGTTAGGGGGGGCCATGAGAAGACACACGGGGCTTGCACTGTAAGTATCCCAGAGAGCTTCATACAATTCCTTATAACTTGATTATAACGAATTGTATAGAGCTTTTTTAGCGTTAGTCGTGGTGCGGCTGGTGTTGTCATGTATGATCCTTGCAAGGATCATATGTGACAATACCCACCGCGCCTCGACTAATGCTACAAAAAACTCCATACAATTCCTTATAATTTTATTATAAGGAATTGTATGGAGCTCTCCGAGATACTTACAGTGCAAGCCCCATGTGTCTTCTCATGTTTTTGTTTGTGAGTGTTCACCTGCTGGTTTTTCTCCACTCTGCCTTTATTTTTTGTACCCAAAATAAGGGGGGGGTGGGCTCCCATGCCCCCCCCCCTGATCCACAACTGATATAGAATAGACTCTGCATGGTGTGAAAATTTGGCAGTTATCAATATGAGATAATTACAATTATTTTTCTTTTCTTTCCAATTATCATAAATTATATTGTCAGATGTTTGAGACCATTTTTCATGGCCGTTATATCATCTTGTTGATGGGAGTTTTTGCTATCTACACTGGTCTTATTTACAATGACTGCTTTTCCAAATCTTTCAACATCTTTGGCACAGCCTGGGATCTAAGTGTAGACTGGGATAACATCAGGTAGGAAGTGATATTGATGATGGTGTGTTCTAAAGTCAAACCTTTCTGATTAGTTATCAGTCTCCAATTTTAGGGGAACATGGTAATCGGTTGTCACGGAGACAGTGCACTTTTCGATTGGGGGTCATAAAACCAAAACCAAAATAATCACAACAGCCAATCAGAAGAAAGGAAAATACCTGCAAGAGCCAGTGAGAACTCAAACTGAAAACAAACCAACTGCCTGAAGCGTGGGAAAACCTTGACAACCAAGTCATGATTTGTTTTAGTTTTCCATCTGATTGGTCGAGAGAGTGGCGGGAGTTTATTGGACCAATCACAGAGCAATTTAAGTAAAGCAAAGCCTGAATGCAATCTTGGATCACTTTCAACACTCACTTGAAAACTGTTCTTACTAAAGATTGTATTCCATTTAGTAAAACATATCCACATTTAAAACAATGAACTGACTGTTATGAATAAATACAAAAAATACAATTTATTTACTATCTTAGTTTATAATTGCCATTTTGTCTTTTGGTAGAGAGAAACTGAATAATACAGCTGTTGATAAAAACGAAATCTTGGTAAACCCTAATGGAACGTATAGAGGGGTGCCATACTTCTTTGGTATTGACCCAGTAAGTGCATGGTAATTCAAAATTACTTTTAATTAATTTACAGGTACCTAACTGCTTTAAGTATTGTCTGCAGGAATTCTTGATAGTGAGGTTGCTTACTGGAAACAAATGACTGAGAGTAATTTTTCTGTCCTTTCTGATAAAATTATTAATTTAAAATTATCCATACTTTATCCAGCAAATAGGTGATGAAAATACTCAGACTTTTATCAGGTAGTAGTTTTTATCTTGATCTAATGCCAAATTCTCATAACTTGTTTGCAAAGAAGTGAGTAGAAGCTAGAGGGGAGAATAAACAATCAGATCTTGTGGTTAAAAAAAACATTATCCAGTCAAATTTCAATTAACTTTCCAATTACACTTTTTCACAGACAAGTTCTGGAGAATCAACTGACTGTCAGTTACCATAAAACCAGGGAAACCATTAACACTTAAAGAAAATCCCTTCAGAACCTGATTCTTCTTTACCTCTGCTTCATTTTAGATCTGGCAGCTGGCTACAAACAAGCTTGCATTTACCAACTCATTCAAAATGAAAATGTCTGTTGTTATTGGAGTAGCCCACATGATGTTTGGAGTTTGTCTGAATTTCTTTAATCACAGGTAATGAATTGTAGATTGCAGTAAATGGCTTTAACCCGGGGGTAACATGTGAAGGTGTAGTCTGATCGTCCAGGTGTGTGTAGTCCTGAGGACTGTTGTCGGTGGTAGTGACTGACTAA